GGCAGGTAATACACACTATACACGGACACAGGCAGGGACACAGGCAGGTAATACACACTATACACGGACACAGGCAGGTAATACACACTATACACCGACACAGGCAGGTAATACACACTATACACGGACACAGGCAGGTAATACACACTATACACGGACACAGGCAGGTGTGGACAGGTGCAGGTAATACACACTTATACACGGACACAGGCAGGTAATACACACACACTATACACGGACACAGGCAGGTAATACACACTATACACGGACACGGGCAGGTAATACACACTTATACACGGACACAGGCAGGTAATACACACTATACACGGACACGGGCAGGTAATACACCCTGACGGTAACTTAGCCTAACCTATTCTAATGTTAACCTTACCTAACGTAACGCTACCATAACCTTATCTAACATAACTCAACCTAACTTGCCCTAACCTAGTCTAATGCTAACCTAATCTAACTTAACGTTATGTTAAACCTTCTCTAACCTAACCTAAACAAACGTAATTTACCAAAACTAATCTACACTAAAGTAACCTAACCTAATCTCACTTAACCTAACCCCTCCCATGTAGCGTTAGGGTATTTAAATCATATGTGACGTATGGACAACAAAGAACTAAGTAGTGGCAATACAAACACAAAGAATAAAGCAAAGGAGATACAATAATCGAATAAAACCGAGACACAAGGAGATGCAGCGATTGGTAGCGAGCATACGAGGAGTGGCTGCATCTCACAGGTTAATTAGTCACGTAAACAACGGCTGAAGCATACAAGGAGGGGGCGCAGAACACTGAGATTAGAGAAGTAGTGAAGCTAATTATCCTTTATCTCCGACATGTGTGAGACTTGCAAGAATGAAATAATTAAAAATGGAGAGAAATACTGTATATGTGTGTGTAGTCGTTCAGTTCCTTGTTATTGCGATAATAAGCAGACACTTGTACTGCGTTGCATTTAACATCGTGACAGTCCTTGATAGTGCAAGTGGCAGCGTCTAATATAAAATGATTACGTTCTATCGACAAGTATATTATATTCTCATTTAAATTAAAATAATTACGATATTGATACAGTAAATGCTGAATTATCTGGACGAAACAATCCCAACTTGACACATCCTTCTTATATTTGCGATCATCATGTTTAAAGATGCATTTTGATACCTAACATTTTACATCATTTTATCCTATTTGCCAGTGACTGGCCTTGGGTTGTCAGACACGTCTTTGTTACGCACTGTTGGCAAGTACTGGACATCCACTACCTCCAGATAAGCAAAATTTATCTTTATCACCATCTCTTAACCAAAATACTTTTTTTTTTTACTTTTTTACTTTTATCCTCTTCACCATTGATCGGCTCGTTAGCCGCTTGGGCGATCGGTCACGTCTCTGTTACTTTTCCTTTTCTTTTACCCTCTTCACTAAATATCAGCTCGTTAGCCGTTTGGCCGATCGGTCACGTCTCTGTTACACACTGTTGGCAAGTACTGGGCATGCACCGGCTCCTGAATGTACCTGAACCTGCTCCAGTGTTTGTCAAGTCCTGTCTTGAAACAGCTCACACTCGGTGCCGTCACCACACTTTCTGGCAGATTGTTCCAAAAGTTTACAACTCTTACTCAGAAAAGTTTGCTCTCACAGTTGTCTGGACCTGCGGCTACTTCAAACCTTGGGCTGCGACCCCTTGTGGGGCGAGCGTTTGCCAGCTCCAGGTAAGGACACTCAACTGAGTAGTGCCCCTTGAGATGCTTATACACATCAATTAAGTCTAACCTTGCCCGTCTGTAGTATAAGTTAGGCAAGAAACTAAATATTCTAGGTTTACACGGGAGAAACTACTTACTTGACACACACACACACCCTCGTAGTCACCCACAAAAGTCCTGTTGCTCCACGAACCCCGAGATTAAAACTCGTAAACCCGCAGCAGTACTCTGATACATTATTTTTTCCATAAATGCTTCGGAATCACGAGTCTGAATCTAGGGGTTCGTGGTTCAGGAGAGGTGACAGCGTTTCAACAGGCAAGTGCTTGGCGGTGGTGATGTGTTGGCGAGTGTTTTTGGTGTGTTGGTGCGTGTTGGCGAGTTTTGGCGAGTGAATGTGTTGCATTGTTGAACACACACACACCCAGTCTAAATTTATTAAACGTGGATTACTGCCAAGTGGCTTGGGTGCCTGAATCATATGTACGACAAACTACCCAAGTACTGGAGAAGCAATTTGGTTACTACAGGGTAAATCAAGTTTATTCTATCATAAACTAACTTAAGATGTATCTGTATCGTCAGTCAAGGAGCTTATCCATGCTGTGCAAAGGATGTGCTCTGGTATTTGTTTAGGAAATGAAGTCAAGCCTATTATCTCCGACGTTCTGATAGGTCACTTATAATATTTAAACTAATCTATTTCCATAAAAGTTATTCTCTCAAGATATATTTCTTTGGTAGAAGTTTTTACAGATGCATCAGTTTGTAAGGTCACAGCAAATTACGCGTATTCTACCTTACAGTCGGTTAGGTGGTTACAAATTGTGAACCCTGTCGTTACGCACAAACCTAATTGCAAAATTAAGCCTACAGATCTTGGACGAGGTTTCTAGACACACAAAATCTGTCACTCTAAAGACCTGCTTCTTGTACCGGTAGTCATGTGGTATACAGTCATAAAATAAGCAGCTTGTTGAGGCACTGTCCTACGCTCTTGTTTTCACGAGTAAATATAACGACTTTTACCTTCAGAACAGTAGTCATGTGACCCTAATCACGATGGCTAACGGGAATTACATATTGCGTCACAAGCTGGGGATTTCAATGCTCAGAATTGAATGTGTATGACATTTTAATGCCTCTTGTTCGTTAATACGTAAAATTATACCCACATTCATAATATTTCACACCTTCAACGACAGTTGGCTAGATATGACAATGAAATTAAGCTGAATAACATAATAGTTAACACGTATTTGAGTACCGTTCCCCAAGGCGAATTGTATAATAAATAGTCCATCTCTAGGAAAATAAGTGCACATGATATGTTCCTATCATTAGCTCCCATTTGCAACATTCACATACACCTGGATTTTTGTAAAATGCCATAATGACTAATTCAATGAGTCTTATGCTTACAACAGTTGATACACAAGAAAAGATAGTTAATGACAACATAACGTTTCCCTGGTCTTCTCAAACAGCTCTTTCACTGGTAATGTTTCTCCTTCCAGCGAATAAATGTCATGAATTTTAAGTTAAGATCGTTCAACTTATCCTTATAATGAACACTAACTGTATTATAACACTTAAATAAATCTATAAAATCTATAAACGTACTTGGATTACACCCATGAGCGATCTGTCACTGGTTCCTCACCTCAACGCGTCAGTGAACAACAGCTGAAGATCATGTGATTACCTATGACTCATATTGGCAACATGTGAACAGTACATTGCGCTTCGTTTAGAATATCGAAAATAGTTGGAGTAAAGTTATATTTTATAAGCAATAGGCCAGTCGTTCATATTTACAAATATATGAGTCTCCTATACTATCATGATATTAAATATATAAATTAAATAAAGAGAAAAATGGAATTACATTTTCTATGGATTTTTCCTAAATTCGTTTTCTTATTCTTTTTAGGAATAACTTTAATAATTTTCTTGTGTGTGTATAGTACCTTGCAAAACATCAAAATACTGAATTGTTTATTTTCATATACGGCAATTTTTCTATGTATTAATTTGTATTATTCATCTAAAATGAAGAAAAAAAACATCAGCTTCCATTCAATTGACTTTAATTAACCTCACTGACTAAAAATAGACCCAAACAGCTTACGGCAATTATCCAGAAATGGCTAATTTAAATTTAAAATGGACCTTTGATACACTAAACCATTGAATGTAACGTGAGATATTGAAATATATTGACATATAATTTGTTATTTTATCCTCTTCGCCACTGGTCGATTCTCTTCCGTCTATAGCCGTCTAGTTTAAAGGTTGTGCGTCCCAGGAAACGAAATGTCAGTGATAATGTCAAGTCAGCACTCTCCTTGTCGATGTCGTATGGACTCCCACAAGGGGGTATCTTAAGACCTATACTTTACCATTATTTGTTTTTATTATTATCACAGGGGCGGATCCAGGAATATCAAAAGGGGGGGGGGGGCCCCCAAGAAGTTGTGGTGGGGGAACATGGCGAGCGCAACGAGTCCACCCAGCTGGAGGGGCTTTGGGGGGACGTTGTATTCCCCCCCCCCACCCCGATTTTTTTTTTAAATCTGACCAGTATAATGTACATTTTGAAGCCGTTTTAAAGCTATGCGCACTTGATATTAGGGGATATTCTGAAGTCAATAGTAAATACATTTTACTGTGCAAAAATGCCTGAGTACAATACTGCATTAAAGAAAAAGTACTGGAATTTTCTGGTGAAAAGGGGTCCGGACCACTAGGACGCCCCTGGATCCGCCCTTGCATCATTATTATTACTTTTATTATTATCCTGTGATGTGGAATTTTTCCTCACCACATGTTAAGGCCCAACCCACTGAGGACCACTCATAAAGGTGAACAAACATCAAAAACCACTGAAGGAAGGAAGGGTAGCCAGCTTGAAGGTACTGGACATCATGTAACAGCCCTTCAGATCACGTTATTACTTAGCGCAATGATGAGAGTTCGTCAAGATTCATACATTACAATAGTGTTTACGGTAGGAGTTATATAAGTCTTAGTCCTGTAAAAAGAATAAAAGTGCACAGCAGCAGTCCGTAGTCAGGTCAGAGGGTAATATGACACAACCTTCTCACCTGGTTACAAATCTTCTTAATTACGAAATTATCCAGTTTGTACATACCATTACTCAAATTCATATATATATATATATATATATATATATATATATATATATATATATATATATATATATATATATATATATATATATATATATGGAATAGAGTTACAAAATTGTGGATGGATGATTATATTTTATTATAAGTTTAATACAATCATGGTACATCAAACATGGGAGCAAGAATCCCTTCATCAGCCCTGCGAGTTTAAAGTTACCCTTCAAATTCTGGTTGAGATCGGCGGAGTCTTCTGTACATGGAGAAGAAATGAGCTTCTGCATATTTGTTGATATCCTTCCATAAAGAATCAGATGTATTGCGACACTCACTATCAGGTATCAGAGCTATTTCTTTTTGCATGGAGACCACCAGAGTCTGTTGAGGCACAATGTCTTAGATCAGGGCAAGTCAAGGAACATACAGTATTGTCAAGATGATAACCATATAATAGGGACATTTTAATGAGTCTAATTGATAAATGAACCATGAGTTACAGGCTACGGAATTCCTTGTCCTGTACAGTTCAAAGTTTAAACCATTGTCCTCAAACGGTTATAACTTAATCCATCGTCCTCGAAGGCTTATAACTTAAACCATCGTCCTCAAGGAGTTAAACTAAGAACAAGGGGACACATATCAGTGGTTGGCTTATTCCGTATGTGTCCTTACCACCACCATCTGAGTCAGGTTTAATATGCAAGTCAAAATATCCACCTGTATCCTTGATAATGAAATGGCCACCCACCTGTAACTGGGCCGCTCGCTCCAGGTAGTACAGATGATCGAAGGCCAAGCTGACGGTGGGAGCTACACTCAACACGCCGTGGTTACCCATAAACAAGATGTCTTTATCACCTGAGGAAAAAACACAGATTTAATACTGACGTGAAACAAAATATAAAGGATTGAATACAAACATGAAGAATCAGATGATATATAAAGCAAATGGGATTAATATTTAAACGTCATTATAATACTTGTAATGAAAATGACCCAACGAAGGTATTGGTTGGTGGTGTATTTGGGTTAATGATTATATCCAAAGTATACATTATCCATCCTAACTTTACTTGGAGTTAAGGGTTAATGTCTCCTATTGCCTTAACCTAACCTAACCTTACTTTACCTAACCTAACTTATCCTTTCTGATTGCCCAACAGAAGGACCCCACTGCGCTTAGTTACTCAATAGAAACACCATATTCCTTACTTACCCAACGCTTGCCCTAGCCTCTTGCCTTCCGCAATAGCAAGGGCAAGGCCGCTGTAATCCTGATCATAAGCAACTCGCTGGTAGAATCTGGCAGAGTTTTGGTGGACCATCAACAGTGTCGGATCCTTCATGCAAGCTGTAGATACAAAATGTGTTAGATATACCAAATACTTCAGCCAGGATGCATTTGATAGATTAACCCTCTGAGGACGATGATTTAACCTTTTGAGGACGATTATTTAACCCTTTGAGGACGATGGTTTAACTTTTTGAGGACGATGATTTAACCTTTTGAGGACGATTATTTAACCCTTTGAGGACGATGGTTTAACTTTTTGAGGACGATGATTTAACCTTTTGAGGACGATTATTTAACCCTTTGAGGACGATGATTTAACCTTTTGAGGACGATTATTTAACCCTTTGAGGACGATGGTTTAACTTTTTGAGGACGATGGTTTAACTTTTTGAGGACGATGATTTAACCTTTTGAGGACGATTATTTAACCTTTTGAGGACGATTATTTAACCCTTTGAGGACGATGGTTTAACTTTTTGAGGACGATGGTTTAACCTTTTGAGGACGATTATTTAACCCTTTGAGGACGATGGTTTAACTTTTTGAGGACAATGGTTTAACTTTTTGAGGACGATGGTTTATTCCTCCACGACTCAAAGGGTTAAAACGCAATACCACTTCATATGGACGAATAAATGAGAGCTTGATCATAAAATCTTATTATATTATAGAGATAGTGGGAGTAACTCGTAAATATTATGAACATCCAGAGATTTATTTTAAGTTACACTGGCAGTACCTTTCCAGGCCATGACAATAATTGATGCCTAGATGTGTTTTTGGTTTGTCCTGAGGCGCTGTTTGTTTGTTTCATAAATGACATGCCTGACGTTGTACACTCCTCCATGCAAATTTGTCGATGACGCCAAGCTATTTCGGGAAATCAAGAAGCAAGCGGACTGTGAAGAGCTCCAGAAGGATCTCTGTGAACTCCAAGAATGGTCGAAGAAATGGCTGCTGAGATTCAATGTCACGAAGTGTAAGAGGATGCACCTGGGGCGCACCAACGGTAAGGAGGCGTATCGTCTGTCCCAACGGGATGAAGAAACTGCAGTATCTGAGACTGCATGTGAGAAGGACCTAGGTGTGTATGTTGACAATGAGCTGAAGTTCTCGGGCCATAGCGAGAAGAAGGTGAACCAGGCAAATCTATTATTGGGTCTTATAAGAAGGTCGTTCAGATATCTAGACGGTCCGTCCCTCGTAACGATCTTCAAGAGTGAAGTGCTTCCCCCATCTGAAGTACTGTCACCCCGTCTGGTCCCCGAGATATGTCAGTTGGTTGAAAATGTTCAAAGGAAGTCTACCAGACTGGTGCCTGCACTTCGGCACCTCAACTACCCTGAGAGATTAGAGCACCTGAACTTGCCTAGCTTAAACTACAAACGGGCAAGGAGCGACCTAAAAGAGGTGTATAAGCATCTCAAGGGGCACTACTCAGTCGAGTAGCTGGCGGACGCTCGCCCCACAAGGGGTCACAGGTCAAGATTGAAGAAGCCGCAAGTCCAGAAAACTGTGAGGGCAAACTTTTTCGGAGTGAGAGTTGTGAACTCTTGGAACAATATACCACAAAGTGTTGTGACGGCACCGAGTGTGAGCTGTTTCAAGACCAGTCTTGACCAACACTGCAGCAGGTTCAGGTACATTCAGGAGCCGGTGCATGCCCAGTACTTGCCAACAGTGCGTAACAGAGATGTGACCAATCGGCCAAGCAGCTAACGAGCCGATCAGTGGTGAAGAGGATAAAAGTAAAGTAAGTAAAAGAGAGTGGGACGAAGAATAATACCACACATCTCACTTACTTTACTCCACAAGTTGCACCAAATTTTGACAATATCTTAAACCAGGTTCACAGTAAATAGCTCCTTACTCCAGCCAAGCTCTAAGGAAATCCCATAGACGCAATTGTAAGGGAACCAAGTTGCTCTTTACTAGTTCTGTTATGAGGTGGGTTTACAGATCAAACCTAACTTCAAAACGTGATGCCTGTTTTGAGTGATCAGTGAATCAGAAGCCAGATATCAACAAGGAAGAAGGTGGAAAGGAGCTCCAAGTGTCATGTTAACCCGGGGTCCTAAACTTCCAACCTTCCTGAGACAGATTCATATGTCGTTCTAGACAGTCTTGGTAATGAATATACATGATGCGGTAATAAAGTGTCAGGAATATATAAAGACGAGTATTTCATGGTGGGAGGAGGCTTGCCCTAGACGCCATGCATGACAGGTTATGGTCATGTGGATATTGACAGACTCGTGAACACACTAACGAGGCACATGGTAATTACCGATAGCTGTGGCGTGAGGCTGGTGGGTGTGCATGATGACCTTAGCATCGGGACGGACAAGGCGGATACCCAGATGAATACATGAGGCAGTAATGTCAGCAGTGCCTTCTCCCTCCACCGTCTGTGCTGACTCATCTACACCCAGCAGGTTGCTTGCTGTCACCTGTCAGGAGGGGATGGTGCATCAGTGAGTCAGATAATGCCAGTAATCAACTTATCAACAGTGATGCTGGTAACTGATGATGAATGGTGTGACTGAGCGATCATCAGAGCAGGTGTATGGCTCACCTCACTCCAATGTAGTTTATAGTTGACCACGAGCATGGTGTCTTCCTGGCCGTCAGCTCTGGGTGCCATCACGGTCAGGTGGTTACACACACCCTCATTAAGGCCCAGCAGGTCCAGCCCTCGGTAAGCTGCAGCCAACTCCAGCCGCATCGCCCTGTAACGCACACCATTGGTTACAACACACTACAGGATACACCAATCATACACCCCTTAAAACTATCCTCGAATACAAGACACAGAGTCTTACCTGTTAGTGCCCCAGGGCCCCTCAGGAACTGTGTAGGGTCTGGGATAGACAGAAGCAAAGGACCTACCCAGGGACCGGCCCTGTCTGATGGCTGCACGAGTCCACATATCACCTGCAAAGATAAATATTTAACTACACTTACAGACATCCACAAATTTAATATCTCCTCTTGCAATCATCTTCACCTTAATTTACTCAACACACATACAGCAGGATATATCAAGAGAAGAATAAACCAAGTGCAATATGGAAGGTAGGCGAGTTATCGCGACCTTGGACCCAATTACAGAGTGACAGGCGATCACAACTATCTTCATTAGATTTATCACCTACTCTACTTGTGTCGTTGTTACGGTCACAAGATAATGATCTCCTTGGGATATATATATTACATAATTTTCTTATTAATGGGTACGTCCACTTACTACGCGGGGTATGTATGTATAATCACGAAGAACAAAGTTAAACGGCAAAGAATCGAAGTATTTAGAAACGATTCATCAACAACATTATAAGTATACAGAACCCGTTTATAAAGAACAACTTGTGTAACTCCCTAAATACTTTAATAAACACAAACATCCTGGAGGAGACACTCGGCAACTATCTAAGGAAAAGGCAGATGATGATGATAAATTGGCTTTCACGAATTATGATGTCAATTAAATGCAATAGAGATCAACACAATACAATTTTATATCAAGCCAAACCAGTGGTCAGTCACTGTATGGAAGAAGCGAGTTGAACAATGAAAAATACTATTATATCCCCAGGTAATAAGTAATATCTATCTATGTTAATTATTTGCATACTACAGTAGATGAAGGCTGCAGACCTGTGTCACGCTTGTAACCACGCTGCCACTACCCAGCACCAAGCTGCACTGTACATCCAATACAATATCTCACAATAAGTATACAGAGAGCACATTGTAAGTTTCCTTTCTCCATCCCATCCTGAGTGTGAACCAAATAACCCGTACCCCACAGACTTTCCGGCACTTGCAAGACAACACTAATAAGGAACCCCGACCATCAACAGTTTACAGCTAAGCAATATTCTACTCGAGTATCAAAGCAGAGAAATATGTGTAGAAATTAGTCATATATTACCTGGTTGGTGTAATTCTATAATCGCTTAATGAAGTCTGAACACCTGGTGCCACACACGTATACACTGCCAGCAGGAACTACCAGCCACTCTCCTCCTTCACGTCTGACAGTTGACTGAGCCAAGGTTGGAGCTGCTTCACCTGCCAAATATACTGTACTGTACAACTGTTGCCATATTTCGTCCTCTTGTTTTACCTTCACAGTTTTTCTGTATTGTATTTAATAATTATGTAGTATTTTTTGTTTTTTTACAGAACATTTGCTAGAAAGTGTACACTTGTGGGCAAAAATAATTCAGTATTTTTTACATGTTTCATTCTGTATTTCCGACCAGGAAAACGAAGTAATTTGAATTACTTTTTTTGTCCTGTAAAATATTTCAGACACTCTCTCATTTTCAATTTGTTTAATTATCAATATAAACTGACATTTTATCATACTATATACACTTCATGATGCATAGAACATTTAAAATTGCATGTTAATGCTATTTGAGTTCAGTATTGCTGGATATGACTCATTTCGAACCTTTCTCAAGAAACTTGCAGGAGGGGTGTGGTTACCTATGCTAGGCAAGACCTTAGAGCCAGCCAGACGAGGGTACAGGGAGAGGATGTTTTTGAAGAGTCCAAGTGGTGTAAAATAAAATTAAAGGGAGGGGACTTACTTATCGTCGGGTGTATCTACAGATCCCCAAACTGTGGCCCACTAAATCAAAGAAACTTAAGAACCTTAATAAACAACGCGGCGATGCTCAACCCTAGCCACCTTATCATGGGGGACTTTAACTATGGCGACATCGACTGGAGAAACGAGTCCACCCCGAATGACTTAAATAACCCTGCTACTCTTTTTGTAGAAACTCTAAGAGATAATTTTCTGTTCCAACATGTTAGAGACCCGACACATTACAGAGGGGAGCAAACACCCAAGCCACTTGACCTCATCATAACAAACGAGGAGGGTATGGTGGCCAAACTGGAACACCTTGCCCCAGTTGGCACCAGTCACCATACAGTGTTGTCATTCAGATTTAACTGTTACCTAGTTCAGGATAAGGCCAGGCCAAGGTGCAAATATTACAAGGGAAATTACAACGGGATGAGGGAAGAGATGAGGGGTATCACCTGGCCTGACTCATTAAGGTACAAGAACGCAGATACTACGCTGAATATCATAACTAGTAAAGTGACCCATTTGATCGATAAATATATACCCAAGACCAAACCCAGTGCCTCTAGGAATACGAGGGGATCCCTACACATGAACCATGCGGCAGTCGACAGAATTAAGAAGAAAATCCAGAAATCCAAGGCGTGGGTTGGGTCAAACGATGAGCAGAACAGTATAAGGGCGGGGAACACGCTGCCACCATTATAAGGGCGGGGATTTTCTTCTCTCCCCTTATATTCTCATTTCATACTTCTCTCTTTGTCATAGTTCCTTCATTTGTTGTCTAAATACTTCATTTCATAGCGACTTCATAACCTCTGACCTTTGGTAGCATGGCGAGGGTAGGCACATGGGTACTGTAATTCTGGTATCAAGCCATTGGACAAAATAAAGGTGGATACTGGGAGAAAATGATTCCCTTAATATACTCTAAGAAATGGTTTATTAAATGAAATTAAATTAGGTAAAAGATGTCATCAACATACAGCTACAAGGTTCAAATCTCGGCTTTACTCAACTGCAATTCCACTTAGATACTCTGGCTTCTTACAACATTAGCCTACTGGTGGTACATTACAAAGACTATATACATGACAAACTTACATATGGTACCTTCACTAGAACTGGTGTTAGTACATATGGAGGATGCACTCACAACACAACACGTTATACTGGTACTAACAATTCATGGGTTCACTACCCAACATGGGATAATTATATTCCAGATAATTATACCCAATCATCTATAACTAAATACTGTGGACCATATAACTTCAAGGCGTGTCCCAGGGTAGAACACTGGCGTCTCAACAAATGAAGACCGCTGTTATGGTCGATTGAAGTCTGACACGTGGCGAGAGTCTGGGGTCTATTTCCCACGATGCAGACTGGGGCAGTTCAATCCTGCCGAATCAGCGACATCGTCCAACACAGCTAACTGTTAGGTAGCCACCGACCCCGGGCAGCTGGTGGGGTATTCAAATAACCCACACACTGTATCTGAGATAAATTTGTAGACGTCAAGGAAGGGCTGATGATGACTCAGTGCATGCCCAGTACTTGCCAACAGTGCGTAACAGAGACGTGATCGCCCAAGCAGCTAGCCGATCAGTGGTGAAGAGGATGTGTGTTGGTCACACAATATATACATATATATATATATATATATATATATATATATATATATATATATATATATATTTATTCACCTAACGCGGTTTCACTTAACGCTGCTTTTATCATATTGTGCCTCGCCAGAGCTGAACTTTCACTTAACACGGATTTTTTCCACATATACGCGGTGAGTGTCCGCTCGAGACGCTATTTTTAGATTTGCCCCCACCCGCCACCCTGCCTGACTGCCTGTTTTAGCTCATAAAATTCATACAAATTACCCGGTCTGAATATAATTTACATTGCTGGAATTCTTATAATTTGATGATCATTTTGAATATAAACATCATATATTTTGCATTAGACATACAAATTTTAGATAAAAAATTTTCTCAAATTAACTATGTTATCTTTTGTGCAAAATATATGACATTTATATTCAAAATATTCCTGGTCTTACAAGGAATCCAGCAATGTCAATTATATTATCCTAACTTTAATCTGAGGTATTATTTAATACTAAATGTTAAAAACTCTGGAAGGGAGGATTGGTGGGGGGTGGGGGGGAGGGTTGGGACTGACCGCGTGGTTGGAAGAGGGGGGGAGGCAAGGTGGGGTACTTTGATTGACAGATAGTGTCGTGAAGATTATTATTTTTTTTATTAACTGAAGATATTTGTTTTAGCTCATAAAATTCATACAAATTACCCGGTCAGAATATAATTTACATTGCTGGAATTCTTATAATTTGGTGATCATTTTGAATATAAACATCATATATTTTGCATTAAACATACAAATTTTAGATAAAAATTTTTCTCTAGGTAACTATGTTATCTTTTGTGCAAAATATATGACATTTATATTCAAAATATTCCTGGTCTTACAAGGAATCCAGCAATGTCAATTGTATTATCCTAACTTTAGTTTGAGGTATTATTTATTAAAATTTAGTGGTTTTCCCCCAAAAATTTCTCTGAGAGGGAAGAGCCGGCAGTGTAGTGTGAGAGGGGGAGGGAGTTGAGTCCATTATTTGAATGGACATTAACTTGGCGACTGTATTTCTCTATTTCTCTTAAGTATTAATTGTGTGCATGTACCATCATAAAATTAAGATGTTATTTTTACTACAACATAGGTATGTGCCTTCAAAAAGTGGAGTTTGGGGGTCGGGCCGGTTTCTATTGGAATTAATCCCATATGTTCTGTTGTTCACTTTTCGGAACACTTAACGAACCCTCTGGGTTCAATTGACGCGTTAAGTGGGGTACAACGTGTGTGTATATATATATATATATATATATATATATATATATATATATATATATATATATATATATATATATATATATATATATATATATATATATATATATATATACAGTATTAGTTCTTGATTTGATAAGTGGCAGGGCTGAAGTAAACACTTTGTTGGTTTTGCTTTATTGTAGTAAAATATAGTTTCACATGTACTGAGTTCAGTTGAGAGTATATTGTACCTTCTCTGCTTAGGGAAATGTCTTAGTACACCTGTATAAGAGAGCACTTAGTGAGATGTTCACTGGGTAACAGGTGATATGATAGTCTCTCTCTCACCAGGGAGAGGGAGTTGTCAGGCGGGCCTTACAGGATACGCGTCAGGTTGTTGTTGTTGAAATGTGCTGACCAAGCTTGACTTCGCCTGCTCCCCAGAGGATATGTCAACTCACCAATTGATTCATACTCATGGATGAATGACTTGGTGAATATATGGGTAATACACATTTGGGTAAATATTTATATAATACAAATTGTGCTGTTACGGATGAAAGTAAAAGTTTAATGATTCTTTCCCATTCCACCCAGGTAATCTTTTATACTAACTTCAGGTAACTCACCTCTGTAGTGTTATAAAGGTCCTTGTGTACCTGCAATCATTAAAAATATAGTTATTTCCCTTTTTCTACTTACAGGAAATATAGGAAATGGTCAGAATAAATGTTGTAACTGGATACCAATCATACTATTCCCAATTTTTAATATAAGTAGAACAAAGTGCTGTACAGTATAAAACAATATAAGCATAACAAGAAGTAATTATATGATTAATCATTACAAGTGTACAGGGACCCGTCAAATACCTATTATATGAGTTTCTTATTTACTTACTAAGTTTATGTTCCTTACCTTGATGATACGTCCCAGCAGTTCAATGTTTCTCCGCTCATGTCCTCACTTATTGGCCTCATCTCTGGTCTTGCTCTCTCCATCATAATAGTCTTACCAATAACTACTGTACTCGCCTCACCCTCACTTATCAAGAAAATCTTCAAGAGATTTTTTAAAGATTCCTCATTTATCACCTGATAAAAGTACAAACACTTCATGTGAAACAAGTGTTTTTTTAACAAGGGCGGATCCACAGGAGGGTCCTGAGGGTCCGGACCCCACCCCCCCTTTTCACCAGAAAATTCCAATACTTTTCTTTTAATGCAGTATTGTACTCGGCCATTTTTGTAATGTAGTTTGTATTGACCAAAATTCAATTGATAATATATTGGTCCCCCCAGCTGGGTGGGCTCACTGTGCTCGCCATGTTCCCCCACCCACAACTTCTTGGACCCCCTTTGAATATTTCTGGATCCACCCCTATTTAAGATATGTAAAGATTGTTTAGCTTCAAGTTATAGCCGTTTATTGTATAGAAGATTAATGAATGGATTTAAAATATACTTTTTTGTATTCCAGTTACTGAAAATACAACATAGTCTAAAAAAAAAATCCAAATAACTCCTGTTACTTGTTCCACTGTTCAATATTATGATTCGACTTGCCCAACATATGGTTTTCTTTCTCTTTATTAATTAGTATTTATATTATGCATAAAACTGATATAACATGTGCCAAATCATACTGGATTTAAAAAAAAATAAAAATAGCAAGTTTTGTGCAGCAGCTCTTATATAAGTACTGTACATGTAACTTGCTCCAAAAAGTATCTTTATGTAGAAGTTCGATATATTTCAAAATTAACACTGTAACTCATGTTGTCTTGGTAGAGTTGTCAAAATCCTCCGTCCATTGTGTCATATTGTACTGCGCACATCATAGTCATTCCTAAAACCCCCTCTAATTCATATTACGCAACATAACATTCAAATCCACCGCGCTTGTAGGAGCTCAGAGAACGGGAAACAATGTTAAAGGATAACTCACCTACTCAATGCTACTGAATCATTTGTTGAATTGTACCCAGGTACGGTTATATAATATTAATTGTATGTATTCATAGCATTAAGGAGAACTCAAAGTATCTAGATAAGATTATTGGGAAAGTTCAGTTGATCCGGACTAGTGTACTTTAGGGCTAAGTGTAGACCGTGGTTTGAAGGTCATACTATTTATGTCTGTGAACGTGTAACGAACATAACTTCCGCAGATATCATATGAAAATTTATGAGAACAATGATCTGGAAAAAGGATAAATGTATCAGAACTATGTGAGGTGTTGGAAGTGACCCAGAAACTATACTTGAAAGGAAATATCTTGTATGCATCAGTGTGAACTTAATATACCTCGTATCCTCGGGTGACGTATACCCACAACAGGTACAGTGATCAGAGAATCTTATGTCTGTGTTCAAATGGTGCAATGTGTGAGAGGAGGATCCCTAATTACAGTTTTAAGTGAAGTGGATATACCCACGCGATGGGCATTCGGTTTTTGTTTCAGGGTAGCGTCCTTTGTGCCCGGCCTACAGGTGTGAGTTGTTGATATAGCCCAATGAATTTACCCACGAACTAGCAAACCAGAATCTTACCTTAGTGTGTAATTTAGGATTAAAATAAGTATTTATAAGACATGAGGTTACAATATATGGGAAAGTGTTCATGTGGGAACCATAAGAAATCAAAGGGAAAATTAAAGATTGGAAACTGTAGGCCTCAACAGAGAGGAGCGGGGGGCATCGGCCTTCAGAATCCTTCGCTCTCTCATCAAACTTAGGTCCCCGCGCGCTCTGACCTCACCAGCAAGGCGGCCATTACCCCCGTGAGCGTCCCACCATGTGAGATGACTACTTCCAGCTATGCTATGCCACTGTGAACCTGTGGATTCCCGGCATACCACCACAAATGAGTAGGAATACATAATGAAATATGAGAAACTCCGCGGTCGTCACTTGGAGCGACCTATAATACCAGGCGTAGAAACAGTACTGGTATATCTCTTGGTGAAACCCTCGTCTCTACCCACCGAGGGCGGTGTGCAAACGAGGTGCCTGATATGTGGATCTAGAAATTACAAGGAGTCCCATACTTGCAGGTGTGGTGTGTAACAGGTGTGGTGAGATGGTGCTACTATGTATGATAACCTAAGGGGCTATATTCCATACAGGTGGAGCAGTCTGACATGTTGAGGGTTATTGTAAGAAGAAATGACCGAGGTAAGGAGGTCACTCATTGTTATGCAATAAGTATGTGGATGACACGCAACTAATGTAGGACGTCTGCTGTCGAGCCGGTTAACCAGAATCATCGTTGTTCTTCTGAGGAAGGCCAACTCACTTGTATTTTAACGGAATGCAGTATGTTATAAGGAATAAATTAGTTAAGACCTGTTATGGTTTCACCCTTTTTTCCTCTTATCGATCTGGTCAATGAAAAACCTAACCCAATGCCTCGTTCACTCTGGCCGCTACCTAACGAGCTACATACTGCCCAGAAGGGGTCTGGTGGCAGCAACCTTTAAAATTAAGACTATAGTTAAGTTATCCCCCTTAGAATTAGTGACCCCAGAATCTGGCAGTATAATATTGTCTAACGCAAAATCATAACGATACTTTTTAGAACAAATTACTGTTAGCTCATTTCTGGAAGGGTTACTATATACCCACATCTGTTCTCGAGGGGTCACTATACTTTATATCCACACATGTTTTTGTAGCCATGGCCTTGTTTTGAAGAGCAAGGGAGTAATCATCAAAAAATAGGGAGTTAAAGAGATTTGAAGCTTTCATTGGGTTTGTCAACATGTTATATTTATCATCCTTGTGTTTCTAGTTGATCATTACATGGCATCAGTTATCTGCAAACATTAATTATAATCTGTAAGTAGTCATCCCTCATCTTTACAGTAAATGAGAGCTCTACTGTATACAGTTTGTTATTATGAACATCATCAATACTAAATATAAAACATATATATCATAACGATACTCCATAACAGTGGCGGACTGGCCCACCGGGATACCGAGAAATTTCCCGGTGGGACCCAAAGTGATGGTTCCTTTGACTACGTTTTGGGATTAAGTGGGCCCTTTTAGACCCTTTTGAGTGGGTCCTTTTACAAGTTTTCCCGGTATAAATTTTTGACCCAGTCCGCCACTGCTCCATAAGTTACATCGTGTCTCACATCGGACTCACACACTGTGCCAAGACCCACCAACAACAAGGACAGATTCTTTACAAAATAAAATGTTCAGTACAATATGTATAAGGAAACCATTTATATAAGGCATATAGAACAGATAGAGAGTAAGTTTGAATATCTCAACTTAACTCAATTTTTAGGCTATATCGTATATTTTCTGCCCTTTTATTCTTATGGGAACTGCACCATGCTGGGGGTGTATGTATCCACATTGCCTGGCAGTGTAATAAAAGAAAACATGCTAAAAACAGACATAGAAAATTGAAAATTGAGAAACCAGGTGATACATCCTTGCTATTGTAAACTCCTCATATTATGTCAAGAACTGTATCTAAATTCTATGTAAAGATTACAAAATAACTCATTATGAGATCCTAAATATGGCTCCTTCTTCCCTATGTGGTAAAAATGTGATTATTTAGTATACCCCCCTGTATGTACAGATAAACTTTCTGAGTGCAACATGCACAACTAAATGTTTCCTAAAGAACTTGAAGGAGCCTTGTATTATATACGTATATTTTATACTGACAAATATTTTGTAACAAGTCATATACTGTATGTACACACCATATATACACCAATTTTACATACCATATACACATAGATACACTGTAATAATCACAATATACACATTGTACACATCTGGCTAATCCACATAACGTTCACATAATATGTACTGTATATATGCATACAGTGATCAAACCGGCACTTGTAACATTACACTTACGAGAATGATATAAAGTGAGGAATTATTTGTTCCACTACAACCTCAGGAATTTATTTTCTAATTATCTATTCTTTATCAATCAACAATATCAACCGTGTTAAGAGGCAGTATTGGATTCTTATTCTAACTATTTTACTATGCAATATTCGTCACACTAAAAATCTCATAAAGTTAAAGTAAACCAAACTCTTTTACCTATCTTTGTGTATTTTTCCACACTGGGTAATAATATCTCATCTTTGTGTTAAAATCATATGAAAATAGATATCTGAATTCCTTCCCATCACCTTAATAACTTGACTGACTGAGGATAACTATAAGAGGCTCTTACATGGAACATAATTAATATCTTAAGGTTACATTTTCTATTACTTGTCAGTGTGGATAACTATGATATTTTCAGTCCATTGTGAAAAAAGAAAGAAAGAGAAACCAGTCCTTCACTACATTAAGCTTCATTTTAGTATGATAACAGTAGCTTTCTGAACACCAATGCTGTGTTTGGGATATATATATATATATATATATATATATATATATATATATATATATATATATATATATATATATATATATATATATATATATATATATATATATATATATATATATATATATATATATACTGGTATACAGTATATTAGTGACTATAGCACACAAACACGGATTTGGAAATGGTGAAAAAGTATAAAATTCTAATTCTAAAGTGCAGCTGTACAAAGTCTATTCAGGAAATAAATTATTGTATATAAGTCTACTAAACCTGACGATATTTACTGTACCTGTGAACAATAAGTGACAGAGAGGATATTGGAGGGCCTGTGTGTAGAAGTTCTTTGTGAAACATTTTCTTCAATTTGTTTTAGTGATGCTACAAGATACACTTTCCAGACTATGACATTATGAAATTAACACCTTTACCTAACATATAGAAATAACCAACACTATTTAAAAGTATATTTGATATGAGGAGATTCTATTAAATTAAGTCTGACAAGAAATTACAGTATTCAAACATAATTACTCCTTTATCAATATAATCAATACAGGTGTAGATTGGTTCATCTTTGTTGCAGGGAGTCTGCCAGGGTGAAATGGGTCTTGAAGAACGAAAAGAAATCTATAAAGTACCAAAGTGGAAGAGATTACATGATGATTAGCCCCTAGTTTATTTCATCTGGTGATTAAATACCTAAATGTTGCTTGAGACAGTTAGAGTGTAGGTTAGGTTTGCTAAGCTTAAGGTGAAATAAATTGGGTTGAAGATTACTCGTGCTTACTGCAAGTGTCTACTTTCGTCTTTTACTTTATTTTGCTTTATGCTCTTCGTCATTGTTCAGCCTGTTAGCTCCTTGGATGATAGGTCACATCTCTGTTGCACACTGTTAGCAAGTACTGTACTGTATTGGGCATGAAAAATGTAAACAAGTGAAGCATCTTATAACACCACTAAAATAAATTTAAAAAATATACCTGTACATAACATTTATAAGAATTTCATGAAATAGTAATAGTATTTGTTTAGTTAACTCTATATGAATATACAGTCCCTAAAAAAAGTGCACAATAAAACATCCATCTAACAGACTACGTACAGTATATGGAGAGGGAAGTCCATTAGATCTTCGGTCCGTTACATGTGAAACCCCATCTAACTGACAACAGCTTATCCATTACAGTATATTAAAAGTCCATGAGACGAAGGTTTCACTGTTGTGTAAACTGGAAATTATTTTTAGTGAACTTAATGTTATAATTGACTATATATCTGTCTCTACAAATAATATTCAGAATGTCTTGAGGAACAAATCCTTTAAGAAATAAACATTAACCCAGATGTTTGTAAAACAATTGCAAAGAAAATAATAAGAGTTCTGTAGAATCTTACACAGTATTCTTTGTACATATGATCATATATTTATTATCATAATTATTCATCAATACACTATAATTTTAGTGGTTATACCAGATTGAGGAGTGAGTTAGTAAATATGGTCACAATATGAGGTACAGTTGCAGACAAAAGTTCGTTCCCTGTAGTGAAACTAATTCACGGGAATGAATCTCCAAAGTGACACACAGTATCCTGACTGTCATCTGGTGCAGGTGTGCTGATTCATCTCATCTAGGGTCAATGCTGTTTCAGTTTGGGAGTGAGCGAACTTTCGACCCCAACTGTCCAACAACTGTATAATGACCTAACTTTACACTATGTACTGTATATTACAACATGTACTACTGTCATGCAGTTTTAAAAAATATATCAACACCATTACCACACACAGAGAACTATTATCACTAATGGAAGTACAGTTAATTTTGAACTACAAGTAAAGAGTATTAAAGTTTTGGCCACAGGATATTTGGCTCTTTGAAAATTAAAACAAAATTGTACACAGTTTAATATCAGAGATTATTGGTCACATTGAATCATCGGAGGCACTGCCATAGGAGAGTGGATAACCTCCTTCGTTATGTTACGGATCTTATGTTACGGATCTTATGTTACATTTCTTTGGTTACTTATATGCACAGAGAACCTCTTTATGCCTCCACTACATAGTACAGTATAGTGTTAAGACTCCCTATCCGTTTCTTAACCCTAAACAACAACCATCATCAGCGGAAGTTTCATGTTCTTTGCATTCCTTTTGTGCCTTTGGGGGAAGTGGGGAATCCTTTGTTACTAGTTAAGGGTAAGGATTAATGCTATTCTTCCCAATTTCTGCCTCACTGAACACATATCATGATACTGTACGTACTTGTAAAACGAGGCTCTGGTACATATCATATTCTTGGGAAAAATTCCTATATAAAGTGGTTGTTAGATCAGTGGAGTCGCGAGTCACTCAGTGTGTGGCGTGGGTAGTAAGTATTCCACCTGCCGTCCTTTTGGGTAATTATAAAAAAGAAGAAGAAAAGAAACAGTTCCTAATCAACTTTTATTTAGATTATGTTAGATGTGTGAAATGTGTTTAATGAATACTATGAACAGAAAACTTATTTAATGTTATACAGTATTTGCTTTTATTCCAGGTACTTTAATTTCAGATTACTTTTCTTGAATTAAGTTCAACTTATCAAATAATGTCTGTGTGATAATGGCTCTCTAGCCCCCTATGCACCAGCTTTCTGTTATTACATAGTCTTGTATCTTATGACAGTCAAGTCGTGATTGTATTACTTGTACTACTTACATCATTCGAATCAAAAGAAATTTTCAACATTTGACAAATGGTGAGGAGGATCAAATACTGTACAATAGTAACTAAAATAAAGAGTAAGATTCTTCATATGCTGTAACATAGGCTCCTGACTAATGTAAACAAATTTTGGTCACTCATCACGTATGAACAAGGGGATAAAAACAAAGAAAGATAATGAATCCGTACAAAATTAATATAATAGAAAACTGAGATAAGAGGGGTTATACTGCAGTAAACCTTGAAGGTTAATGCGGGCCATGAGATTGTGTATGTGTGTCAGGTCGCCAAGTGGGCTGCGTTGTGAATCTGTGCAGAAAAATCTGCTTTAACCTCGAGGTGTTTTTTTTTGTCGATTCCTATGTTAATTACCAACACGTGTACTGTTGCCCACAGGTATAATGTTCCACCCCTCGGTGGCCTTTCCGAACATGTGGCAACATAGGAATCACTTTATGAATGAATCGGTAACATGAGGAGAGCAGCTGTTGGCAAATACTCTCCTCACATTACAGATTTCATTTATAAAGTAATTCCAACATTTACCGGTAATTGGCTAACGAGGCCCCAGATAATTCTATTCAGCTCGTAGGGTATCCCATACACAGGGGGTTAAAACCTGTGTCAATTAATGCATTCAGTGCAGTAATGCATTAACATTATAACAATATAACGTCATTGTCCATACTAATTATTTCAATAGATAAAAAGTAATGAATGAGTAATGTTAGTGGAATAAAATACTTGCTGAACTTATATCATGTCATATCTGTAATAATATCTCATATGAACTGCTGGCCAAACTGTGGATGGTATAATGCCCCGAGACTCAGTGTGCTTAACATGCTTGTTAAAATATAAACATCCAAACCCAATGCAGTTTATTGTGTGAAAGATGGTACAATGGGATATGATAAAGAGGGTTTGAATCCAGAGGTCAATGATATCACTGCAGCATCACTGAACACATGAATGGAGTTTTTCATATATATATATATATATACAATATAAAATATGCAAAAATAATTGTCATTACAGTAGTAGGAAGTGATTGTATTTATTATAAACATAAGACTTGCATTAAGTGATTCTAAAGTACCAATTACAGTTAAACTGGCCAAAAAGAGTTAAAACTTTTACTATGCAACACAGAGAGAGAGGTAATTTTACTCAGTCATAAGAAAACAGCAATTATGGAATAGAATAATCATACTTTCACTAATGTAATCATGCATAACATTCCAAAGTTCATTATGTAGTGTTATAGAGAGTGAGTTACTCGCTGGTAGCCTTGGTGTTATGCTGATTTAACTCATATCTGCTAGACAATGAAAAAGAGAGAGAGAGAGAGAGTGAGAGAGAGAGAGAGAGAGAGAGAGAGAGAGAGAGAGAGAGAGAGAGAGAGAGAACAGATATATCGGCAATACTCTAAGACTACCAGTGATTGAATCATCCTCATCATACATAACTATATCCTGAAAAATTACCATACTGTGCCAGCTGTTACTGTCCGAATGTCTTTCTCCTTATGTGGCAACAACCAACATTAACCAGAACACAATTAAAGAACAAAATCTTTACCTCATATACAGTAATGGAATGTACTGGTATTATTCAGTCGAAATTTGATGCTAGGTTTACCAGTGCATAATCAAAAGGATTTGTCATATTTCTGATGATTTATGAGTTCAAACTAAAACAACATTCATACTATTTCCCACAAATTGTTAAAAGAGAAAATTTGAATAATGATACGAGTCGAGGTTTAGTGCATTATATTAAGAAAAAAAGAAATTACATTTCAGTGAATTTTGTTATGTAAGAATATTTCTACTGGTAGACATATGGTAGCCAAATGGGATCTAGGAAACTTAGGAACCCCAGCTTATTTCACCTGATGATTAAACACCGTAATGTTTAATATGAGGTTGGGTTGGGTTAGCATTAAGGTATTATTCATCGGGTGAATAAACACAGGTTCCTTCCTAATCCTCATGACATCCACTAAATGTGTTAATTGCAAAATGTATATAAAAGTCAGGTTGATAATTTGACTATAAAAATAATATCCTTAATCTCTTTTGGCAGTTCTCTATATTGCCAAATAATTTTTGACTGATATTTCTGATAATCTCAAAAAGTCAATACGTATTTTAGCATACAGTATTCTCTAGCCATATTAATTAGCAGAAGCAATTTTCAAAAATATTTTAATATGTCTCACTTTTAACTGCATATATGTTTAAGATGATTATGCACTATAGGGGCAGCACTATATAATACTTATTTAAGAAAATAATTCAAATATTATGAAATATATAATTCTGACAGATCAGAAAATAATATACGTACTGTATCTAAAATTTCACCACTAACAAAAATAATCTAGCCAGGGGTATACAATTATTCAATATCATTATGCATATTTAGTTAACTACAGAAGTGTAATAATCTCCATTGGCTGGAATCCCTGTTAGCCGGAACTCTCCAATACCCGGAATTGAAATTGGCTCAGAATTTTTCCAAGAAAACTGTGAACGAGTTTCCGAGGTTGAAAATGAAGTGCCTTTTCTGAGAAAATTCTAGAAAATCTCTCCCAAAAATTTCTTTCCAGGGCCTGGGAGTAAATTGAAAGGTTAAAATCAAGCACATTTTTTTTAGAATTCCAAAATTAAATTTCTCCAATTTTTTTCCTGGTCTGTGAGCAAGTGTGCAATGTGTAATTCTGAAAACTCCAGAATCTCTCTCCAAAATGTTTTGTTCTGGGAACAAATTCCAAGGTTAATAAAGCACAATTTCTGGAAACTTCCCAGTAACCGGAAAAACTCTGGATATGTGTGATTTTACTGGGTTTGAGAGTTATCTTGTTACCCAGAAATTTCTCATCCTGGAAGAGCTCTGCACCAATTACTCCAGGTAACGGAGATATCACTTTGTAATTAATTATTTTAGCTGTTTTTAAATACAGAAAATGGATGTACATTTCCATAGTTCTGAACCCATAACCCAATTAGTTTTTGTGTCTACTGTTGTAATAATAGCACTATATTAGTTATTTGATGTCAGACTAAGACAAACTAACATACTTTAATTAAATCACACAAAAAAGTAATTAATGTATTCCTTAGCCAATCAGATCATTGTATTAGTCCTAATATACTGTATCTAAATAATACAAAAAAGTAAATAATATTTTCCTTAGCCAAACAGATCATCGTATTAGTCCTGAGGGGGAGCGGAGGTGGGAGCGAGAGATGAGACCAGTGCGGTAGTCGACGGGTTCTGGCTGCTGACGGGGCTGGTTCCGTTTTCTATGCCGGCCCCAACTGAGAGAAAATGGAATAATCATTAGGAAAGCAAAGCCAAAGTGGTAATACCATACACATGTGGTTTCACTACTTACTAGAGAAAAGATTAAATTGTAAATAGTGAGTGTACCGAGGTAGACATTAAGACTGGTGGTACAGTACAGCATAAGAAGCAGAAAATGCCAGAATTAGAGCAAACCTGGAAGCAAGCATTACATAACACTTCTTCATACTAAAAACTGGGATGGGCCTAAATACCAAAAAGCAATTACTTGTACATAGTGTGGGTTTAATACATCATGCTGCTAGATAAAATTAAGTATGAAAGTCATATACTTAAGGAATCTCTCTGGTAACTCTTGACTAAAATTACCAGGCAAAGTAAATCCATCCAGTACTTGTTTCCCTCTAAGAAATATAATAATAGGCATTCATATAAGTACTATAGGCTGATTCACCTGCTGGTAGCCCTAGCGCCTTGTTAATACATCCTTTATTTATATGTGTGTGTGTGTGTGTGTGTAAGAGAGAGAGAGAGAGAATATACAACATTAAAGACCTTCACCCAAAAACACACATAAAAGCGAAGTAAAAAAAAGTAAAAGTATAAATCAGATATATTTCCGAAACTCTAGTTCTACCAGCGAGTGAATCACCCTATAAATTTAAATTTCATATCAGGTGTTTTCATCATTACCATTCTCTAGTTCTGGCACATGCATGGGTAAGAGGGTGAGAATCATAAACAAATCCCTGTAAAATAATCACCTAAATATTTAGCCTCAGCAAAGTGTAAGCAAATATATCATGGGTATAATACAGTACCACACAGGGTAATTTATTTTTTATTTAAGAACCCTGAATAATTACTGTATATTAGGATGTACAGATGCTTGCACGTATACCTGGTACAGTACAGTGGCTGGCGCATTTTGAGAGATGTGGGTCCTCTACGTTTGTTTACATCATATTACTTTTACTTTTGCCTTTATCCTCTTTGCCATTCATTGGCTCATTGGCCACTTGGGCAGTTGGTCACAACTCTGTTATGCACTGGCTCCTGAGTGTATCTGAACCTAGAATGAATCTAAGGAATGTCACAATAGTAGCCAGGTTAAGGTTGCTAGATAAGCATTCCTGACAGAGTTGCCACATCTCAAAAAAATACACCAACTACTGTACCAAGTACAAGGGTAGGTGAATACAATAAACAAGAACCTGAAAATAAGAAGGTTGATATGATCAGACTTTATTCCTACTGATTTCAGGTTCCTGTTTATTACACATCCTAAAATATAGTACTGTAATCATTTAGGGTTCTTGAATAAAAAAATGAAAATGTACAGTATAAAGTAAATATGATTAAGATTCCAACACAGTCTAATTAATCTTTGAATCAGTATGAGCATTAGCATGAATAATAACAGTAACAGTTCTACTTATCTAATGATGCCACGGTATATCATCCTAAAGTGACTACTGTATCGTGTTGTTGACAGTGCATAATGTTAATGTCTCAACAACAGTACAACCAAGGTATCTTCAGAGTGGTTTTAATGAAAGGAAATTAATAAATGTGAGATGAGTTTTCTTCTCTAATGTTACCAGTGATACAGAGAATAAAAGGAAATTGATTAGAGCAGAGGAGATGAAGACAGATGAAGGAACAAGTCTCTCCTTCCTGACAGAAGAAAAGAAAGCTAAGATAAATGAATGAGCAGTTAGGAATTAAACTTGTGAGGATCAAAGTGTGAAGATATCATGACTACTAGATAAGGTCCGTGTTGAGAGGTTGTTGTTCCAAAACTGTGAAGGTTGGAGGTGGTTAGATGGAAAGTGCATTATAAATAAAGTGTATATTTATCATAAGCTCCAAATTATTCTTATTTCACAGTAAAATCAATTATTCCTTGATTGCACTATTTCATGTCTTTTGGGATATATACCTATTCCCAGTTAGTTTATCATGTTAAAAAAAAAATAAAAAAAATACATTCTATTAAAAGTCTTTGCTACAATAAAAAGATTACTGTACAGCCTAATTTTCCAAGAATCATTTATTTCATGCCAAGAACTGTTTCAGTATGATTATATATTAGAAAACTTTTGAAGGCGTGTGATTGAAATTCATATCAATATAGAAAGAGAGTTTTCGACTCATTAACAAGTCACTATGGCATTACAGTACTGTAGGGAAGTTTTAACCAATGGCCAAACTAAATAATAATGGTTATAACTCACGGTACTTGTAAATTAAGAAGATTCTACACTTTGTCACACCACAAGTATTTATGTTCTATGCCATAACACAACTACAATGCATAAATAAAATTCAATGTCACTGCTGCAGTACGAAGGCTCTAGTGCCCCAAGTCACAGTCACAATCAGGGTACAGTATTCCTGGAAATCAAGTAACAGGTTACACATCAACTTCTCATTAATCTGAGTGGAATGAGAGTCTCTGTGGCAAGAAGTGTGTTAGTCCAGTATACTTAATAAAGAATGGAAAATTCAACTCTAATGTTATCTAAAACCCTGTAAAATTTCTGCTGATTGTTGAACAAACTCAGGCTCCCACATAGTGAATATATGCTGGCTACCCATTTCACTACTGCCACCCACTAACAACGAGGATACAAACTGCCTATTGGAACAAGAATCCAACCAAGTACATACTTGAATATGTGTTGTGCATAAAATTATGTATGTACAAAAATACACACACAAACACTGACAGATGCAGTCATACACTCAGTCATGAACATGTATGAATGTACTATACACTGTACTGTATGTACACACTTATCCACATGTGTATTCATATGAATATACACACTTACAAATATTTACTTACATACAGTCCTAAAAATGTATAATGTACACAGTCTCCCTCACTCTTTCTCTTAAAAAAACCAAATGTGCATATGGGTACACACACACACATGCATGCACGCACACACGCATACCCGCATACACACAATCTCTGTCTCTAGTACATAATGTTTAAAATTGTGGAAGTTACATAGTGAACAATATTTTCAGATACATCATATGAATAGAATTCAGAAATCTATTACAGCACAGACCCTTAGAGCACATCCTCGAATATTCCTCAACTTAACTTCACAAACAAACTAAGAAGAATATAACCAAGATCCTTATCTTATATTTCACTATGGTGTGGTCATAATAGAATCCCAATTATGGCTCCAACAGAGGCAATTTATCCTTTAGAAATTTCTAAACAGGAAAAAGAAAAAATGAGGCTTACCGGTGTCTACGTAACATCCAAAATATAATAAGTTGGATTCCAAGAAGCTAAGCCAGGATTGCAATATGCCAGGTAGATAGGGTACAAATTATGGTGGCAGTTTACATGAGGACAATGGAAAACAGACCACAGACCACACTTAAACATGCCCTGAGACTCACACAGTCCAAGTTAGTACTACAGTATCTGGATGTTTTAAACATTTTGAGTCACAGTTCCCCACTGTCAGTTTAGAAGCTATAGGTACAGTCACTTGCACTTATACCTGGTATAGTGTCTGGTGTATTTTGTGAGGTGTGGCAACTCTGTGTTTGTTTTCATCGTATTAAAACTCCTGGAATGGTCCTAAAGGAACGTTACAATAGTAGCCAGACTAAGGATGCTAGACAAGCATTCCACTGAGTTGCCACATCTCACAAAATGCACCAGCCACTGTACCAGGTATAAGTGCAGGTGCTTGTATCTCCTGAACACAAATCACATCTTAACATAAAGTTGTGACATCTATGTTTGTTAAAAATATATCATTATCTCAAATGGTTGAAATTACACTCATGGTAAATATTTGTTCAGGAGAGTATGGGAGGGTAGCTGGCTGAGAGACGGCATAGACACAAGTGATATGACATTCTATATATTGACATATATAGTACCAGACTATATTTACTTTTTGGTATAGTCTTTATCACATTTACATGAACTTAGACATTCCACCAGTCAAAGTAACAGCTACAACATAAATATTTTAGTGACACTTCTGTATCAATGAAGTAGGTAACAGAACATTCAAAAAGCCTACATAAACAATATAACAAAATGTATTGGACATCCCACAGAAGTCTATTCATGCCTAAAAAATAAGAACTTGGACACTGCAAGGACTCATTCCACATCTAGAACATGAACATTCATCTTGGTCTCCTGCAACAATGGCGCAAGAACCACTGTGTCAGTCCTCCAACCACCCACCGGAGGACCTTGGTGATGTACTCGGGCCAGTTGGCAGGGAAGAGAACCAGGAAGAACCCACACATGATTAGCACCACACCAGCCAGCTTCATGCCCTCAAATTTGACGCCATACCACTTGATGTCCAAGGCTGAAAATGTAATTAGGACTTTGATTACATGCCACTGACATTCCCACATAAACGATTGACATCCTAACCTAATCTACCCAAACATAATCTACCACTTACTTTTTATCATTCTTGCCATTGATCAGTTCGTTAGCTGCTTGCGCTGTCAGTCATGTCTCTGTTACACACTGTTGGCAAGTACTGGGCATGCACCGGCTCCTGAATGTATCTGAACCCGCTCCAGTGTTGGTCAAGTCTGGTCTTGAAACAGCTCACACTCGGTGCCGTCACAACACTCTCTGGCAGGTTGTTCCAAGAGTTGACAACTCTCACTCCGAAAAAGTTTGCCCTCACGGTTTTCTTGACTTGTGGCTTAATTAGTCATTACAAATAGGCTAGCATTCTACCTTCATTTAATACCGTTATTTTACAAGTATAATTAAATTGTATATATATGTTGTCTAGTCAATAAATATGCATGTGTAGAATAACTTTTTTCTTTATCTAAAATGGATATAATGGAAGAGAAACACATCATATGTGAAATAGGAGTGGAACCTGACACAACCTAACCAAATCTTAACTTATCCTAATTTTAATCTAATCTGATCTAACCTAACTTAATTTACTGTGACCAAACTTAACTTATCCTAATCTACCCTAACCCAACCTTACCTACCTAATTGAACCAATCCAAACCAATATACTGTACTAGGATTCCCAATAACAATCTGCAACAAAATGCATTTTGCAAATATTGACTAAAGTTCTTTTAGGTGAACCTTTGATTATTACAATTTATCTAGCTAAGGATATCTTTAATATAACTGTGCTGAATTAACTGTGTGATAATTATTCTATACCTACAGGTAGCTTATTATTATTATTATTATTATTATTATTATTATTATTATTACTACTATACAGTATTATTATCATCATTATTATTATTGCTACCAATTTTATCTTTACAATCAATAGTTCAAATAATTCTAAGACACTTTTCTTCTACGACGTTTCCCTCGCAAACGACCTCTATTATTATTATTATTTACTTTAAGTGATACTCGGTTGGTGTCTTTAATACTACGGTAAACTTTAAACCCATTCAAAGTCATTTAATTCCCGCCTTTAATCTCATTCAAAGTCATTTAAATACTGTTTTTAAACTCATTCATGAAACTTCATTTACATCCGTTTTCTTTGTTGCAATCAAAGAAAATGAAACTATTAGATGGGCAAACTTCTTTATTTCTTCTTATGCTTGTAAGTTATAGCAATTATTTTACTTTAGGTGTTCTTTTATTTTACCCTTTTCGCCACTGATCGGCCCGTTAGCCGCTTGGGAGGTCGGTCACGACTCTGTTAAGCGCTGTTGGACCTGTGGGCATGTACTGTACTAGATATCTGTTACACACTGTTGGCAACTTCCAAGTCCAAGGTGCCGTAAATCTTAAAACTAATGATAGAAATTGTAATTCATTGAACATATTCTGTCTCCTTTACTAAAACTGAAAAATAAGAAGCAAAGAACAAAAAGACAAAATATGAGCCTATGACATACATTATACAGTATAAGGAATGAGCCACATACTGTAGACCTAAAGTACTGTATAATGCTCCATATGAATCAGCCTGGACCCTCCTTGAGCTTCTACATACCTGCAGACACGGGTACAGCGAGGACGAGGCCAAGTGTGATAAATATCTCGAAGGTGAACGCTATGCCGAAGTTCCCCAGCAAGTTAGCAGCTGTGGAGGAAATAACCAGGAATTATCACACTGTCTGCTAGGAGTTTCACATGGCGGTGTTGTTTGAATCATAAAGTAAACCAAAGTAAAATGATTAGATATATAGATAGATAGATGGATATATAGATAAATATATAGATGGATAGATAGATAAATAGACGGATAGATAAATAGAAAGATAGAAAGATAGATGGATTGATGGATGGATGGATGGATGTGTGGATGGATGGATGGATGGACCAGACGAAATACTCCCCTCGTTAGCCGTTTGGTCGATCGGTCACGTCTCTGTTACGCACTGGGCAAGTACTGGGCATGCACCGGCTCCTGAATGTACCTGAACCTGCTCCAGTGTTGGTCAAGTCCTGTCTTGAAAGAGCTCACACTTGGTGCCGTCACAACACTTTCTGGCAGATTGTTCCAAGAGTTCACAACTCTCGCTCCGAAAAAGTTTGCCTTCATAGTTTTCTGAACTTGCGGCTTCTTCAATCTTGAGCTGTGACCCCTTGTGGGGCGAGCGTCCGCCAGCTCCAAGTATGGACACTCGACTGAGTAGTGCCCCTTGAGATGCTTATACACCTCAATTCGGTCACCCCTTGCCCGTCTATAGTATACACTCACCTAGTGAAAGTGCAGCAGCCACCAGCAAATTAGGCCAAGGTAGGTGACTCCACAGGACCGTCTCGTAGCCGCTGAAGTAGAAGGCGGCCACCAGAGGACTCAGCAGTATAGTGTTGAGCAGCGCGATGACTGTGAAGATGAGGCTGACTTGTCCGAAACTCGCCTCACCTATGACCTTCTTGAAGAGCACCTGTTGGCAGAACCTAGTTAGTTGTTGGCAGAACCTAGCTAGCTGTGGGTGGTAAGAGTTAACTGCTGGTAGAACCTAGTTAGCTGTGGTTGGTAAGAGTTAGCTGTATTAGGTAAGGGTGAGTTTTTTGGTAGTTTGCTTTCACAATTCTGCATCCACTGCCTGTCTGTTCCTGATTTTTTTAACCATGTTGTGTTCTGATGCATAGATTGAACTCATGATTAGCCACATATTTAATCTCTCTCTCTCTCTCTCTCTCTCTCTCTCTCTCTCTCTCTCTCTCTCTCTCTCTCTATTTATCCATCAGTAAATGAGGCACAACAGAAAACAGCCTGGATTAAACTGTTGATTTAAACACGTAAATAACAACAGTATCTTAGCCACAACGACCCCCCCTCCTTGGGAAATTACCCGCGTTCTTGGACCAAGAGACGAAAAACCATTCCCTTCTGTCCTTTACAAATCATCAGACCAGAATGCCCCAGGGATAAGGTCCACAATCACACCACATTAACCAGGCAGTCACTCAGTGGAAATCCCACCCTCCATCCCCGCCCCCCACCCCTTTCTCTGTCCAATGGAACAGGTGATTATCTGAAGATTAGGCACCCTAGCTTATTTCACCTGAAGATTAGGCAACTGGCTTATTTCACGGGAATTAGGCACCCCCAGCCAATTTCACCTGATAAATAAACACCCCTAATAGCTACATCAATAATGCTAATGCTTGTACAGCGGTTTTATAATCTTTAAGACAGAAAATATGCATCATTGTTTTTTCTGTTTCATGGACGGTGTGACGGGTCTTGTTTTATTCTATGGGAGGAGAGAGGTAGGGGAGGAAGGAGGGAGGAGGAGGGAGGAAGAGGAAAGGGAGGAGGAGGGAGGAAGAGGAAGGGAGGAAGAGGGAAGGGAGGGGAGGAGGAGAAGGAAGGGGAGGGAGGAGAAGAGGGAGGGAGGGAGGAAGGGGGCTAAAGGAGGGGGAGGAGGAAGAGGGAAGGGAGGGAGGAAGAGATAAGGGAGGGGGAGGAAGAGGGAAGGGAGGGGGAGGAAGGGAAAGTGAAAAGGTGGAAGAGGAAAGGGGAAAGGTGAAAGGAAAGAGGAAAATAAGGGAAGAGGAAACAAGGAAGACGAAAGAGGAGAAATATAGGAGAAGGAAGAAGGGCATAAGGAGGAAAGAGGGAGAGGAGGAGGAAGGAAGGAAGGAAGGAAGGAAGGAAGGAAGGAAGGAAGGAAGGAAGGTACCTGTATCAGTCACACATACCACCACAACCATCATGTACCCCAAAGCAATTTCAAAACACTTAATCTCACGCGTCTAATAAAACTTCCCACGAATAATTATATGAACCATTTTCAAGATTAACTTTTTACATTTTAATCTAAACAGTGAGTGAAGATTAGTGGGTGAAAGTGGTGGTGGTGTGAGATGGTGTGGGATGGTGTGGGTTGGTGTGGGTGTGTTGGATGGTGTGTGACAGTTGGACAGTGTATTTGGATTGTTTTGACGTGGATGGTGACTGGTAGGGATGGGTGGGTGTGGATGGTGTGATTAGGTCTGGACTGGAATAGTTATTATTATTATTATTATTATTATTATTATTATTATTATTATTATTGAGTACTGGCACTTAACACAGGGACGATCCAATACACAAGCTAACTAACTGTATCAGATCTCAATAACAAAATCTTTGAGTACAAGCAATTCAGTACATAAATTTTTTTTCTATATATATATATATATATATATATATATATATATATATATATATATATATATATATATATATATATATATATATATATATATATACTGATTGTAGAGGACTAAATAGAGTTTAATAATAGGGTAGTGTGGGCAGGAGGAGGGGGGCCAAGTTGTCATTATTGATGGTAGCTATTGGTAAGTCTCCCCGGACCCTCCACCCCGAGCCAGGCTTTCTTATGGCCTTTTGTCATGCACGTATACACGACCCTCTTATCCTGATAGCTTGTCATTCTCCCGCCAGGTCAAGATCTGTGGCCATTAAGTCTGAGAATACTGTAATATGATAGCAGTATTTCCTGTTTTCTCTTGGAAATAGAAATTTGAGAAAACGGATCTAAATGAAGGACAAACTCATTTAAATATACATGTCCCTTTTCGTCGTCCATTTTGTGTTATTGTTCATGCGATTAAATTTAAATATATAATTAGTTACGAAAATAGATCATCGTACAAGCATTTTGCATTCGAAAACATGTTAACTCAATGACTAAGTGAAAGTCAGGAAGGAAATATAACCTTTTACGCCAACAATGATTGTGTAGGTTACCTGAAGAATCTCCACCAGAGCTTATTTCACCTAAAGATTAACAACCCTAACTCTAACCTAATCTGCCCCAATATCCAAGTGATCAGTCAGTGAAGAACACGTAAAATTACCCAAAAATACAGCGAGGATGGCAGGGTAAGGCAGAGGAAGGAGGAAGGAGAGATGAGAAAAGTACAAAAACAAGGGAAGGGGGGAAGGAAGGAAGACTGAAGGAAAGAGGGAAGGGGAATGGGAGGTAGAAAGATGAAGGGGGGAAGGAAGGAGAGATAGAGTGGTACAGGAGGCGAGGGAAGGAAAGAAAGAAGTAGGAAAGGTAAAGGATGGAGGAAGGAGGGGTGATAGACATACAAAAGCAAGAGAAGAAGGAAAGGAGGAAGAAATGATACAGTAAAGAGCAAGACGCTGGAGGTATTTAACACACACACTCACCTTATACACAGCAGACCCAGCAGCCGAGGCAGCAGCCAATACCACACCGCCTAAGGTCTTGGTACGCGTGATGCCGTCCATGTAGGCGAGGAGAGCGATGCCTGTATTACACATGATGACTGCCACGATCTGTAGGCCAAGACATCATGGTTAAATAGGTGCTCATACCATAACATGACCTCTCTCTCTCTCTCTCTCTCTCTCTCTCTCTCTCTCTCTCTCTCTCTCTCTCTCTCTCTCTCTCCAATACACTTTACAACAATGGCTAAATCCCTTCACTTACTGTAAATGGTAAATATATCTCCTCGGTGTTGTGAGTCTGGAGTGGATTAATTATAACGCAGTGATTTACCTAAAATAATCCCAGCGAGTCTTACTGAATACATTATGCGTTCGTTGTTGCTCCACACGCTAGTACACATAACGTACGGATTACCTGAAGATTAGACCCCCACCAAAGATTATTTCACCTGATGATTAAACACCTCAACGCTACCTGGAGGAGGAGGAGGGGGTGGATTTTAGGGGGTTGGGTTGAAGTGTTTTAATCATTAGGTGAAATAAGCTGGGGTGGTTAATCTTCAGATGGTCTCAACAAAGGGTCATTACATTAATCCAAAGGTCAAGGTCACAGCACCAGGTCAAGGCTCATGCTCCAGGGTGCATCAGAATACACAGGATATTTCCCTAAACACTGTGCCCTCAGCCTTTACTCAATAAAGGTGACGTAACAGCTCAGGGAGGGACGACGAAGGCAGGGAAGGAGGAGGGAAGGAGGGAGGGAGGGAGGGAGGGACGACGAAGGCAGGGAAGGAGGAGGGAAGGAGAAGAGACAGGTGGGTAAGGAAGGAAAATATGTAGAGAGAGAGAGAGAGAGAGAGAGAGAGAGATAGGGGGGGGGGTGGATTATGACCTCTTGAACACAACTCCTCGAGAACCAATGTACCATAAGAGTGAACATATTGTGTGTAATAGCATAGTAGTGAACATATTGTGTGTAATAGCATAGTAGTGAACATATTGTGTGTAATAGCATAGTAGTGAACATATTGTTTTCAATTTGAACACAAACTCTATCTGCTATGTGGTCTCATTAACATCGTTGTTCCTACACGGGGTACAATCTTTTCTAACCTAACCTAACCCAACACTCACCCTGACGCCCACAAACTGGTCGTGTAGGATGACCCAGGACAGGAGGTACACGAAGGAGACGTGGGCGGAGTAGAGAGCCATCACGTCCGTACAGTCGAGGATGCGCAGTGAGTACACGTACATGTAGTTGGTGACCACCCAGAGGAGGCAGAAGAGGCAGCATCTGGTCATGAACTTACCTGGAGGGGAGAGGAGGAAAGAGAGAAGTTAGAGGAGGAGCGAGAGAAGTTAGAGGAGGAGATAGAGAAGTTAGAGGAGGAGAGAGAAGTTAGAGAACGGAGAGAGAAGTTAGAGGAGGAGCGAGAGAAGTTAGAGAAGGGAGAGAGAGAAGTTAGAGGAGGAGATAGAGAAGTTAGAGAATGAGAGAGAGAAGTTAGAGAATGAGAGAGAGAAGTTAGAGGAGGAGAGAGAGAAGTTAAAGGAGAGAGAGAAAAGTTAGAGGAGGAGAGAGAGAAAATAGGGAAGGAGAGGTTAGGGAAGGAGAGAGGGAGCTTAGATTATCTTACTCTAGAGAGAGAGAGAGAGAATTCATATAGGAGTGAAAATAAAATATAACTTTTTAATTTGTTCTGTAACAATATTTTCTCAGGTAAATTGAACATTTTACATTATTATAATCTACATTAACCAGATAAGAGAGAGCTAGATAGATACAGACAGACAGGCAGACAAAAACAGCCTTACGACAATTGACAAAAACACCCCCATAACAAAAACAAACTCAACCTTACGACAAAAAACAATCATAAAGTCATAAAAATAAACTCTAAACGTAGCTCTTAAAACACTATGCTTCACCCTTCAGGCATTATGACCACCAATAACTGAGTAGTTCCAATACACAAGACTTATTACAATCTACCTGTAACAAAATAAGAGACTCTATTGGTATCTTTATAAATTACGTGGAAAGTGATAATTAAGATAAGAGAAATGTGTACTTGGGGGGTCAACTATCCCTCTTAAGCGGAAGATGGCGTGTGGATACTTGACAATGCGGCAACTAATTCCTGTAACCCGCAACCCACAACTAGAGGCACAGCAAAGGGAAGAACGGGTGGGTTTGTGGGTATTTTCTGGTCTTTATAATGGCAAACAAAATGTTATAAGCGAGTTTACTGTAGCTTGTTATAATTAAATGGACATCTTTAGTTTGGGTGGCCATAAGGTAAATATGGTAACTGGATATGTAAAAAAAAATACATTAATATTAAATCAGAAAAAGTTGTGAATTAAAGAATGCGCTGACCCCTGAAATAGTAAAAAAAAAAAAAAACGTTTACTTTAGTTTACGTTAAAGACAGAAAATTATAATAGTAATAAATCAAAGAAAACGTAACAAGATTGAGGAGGATATGGGGAAATAATTTTTAATATGAAGGATAGTAAATTTAGCACCATTTTTCTAGGAGTTATTGTTGTAAGTGATGTTCTTTTTTATTCGTGATAAAAAACAACAATAATAAAGTTCTCTTCATATTTGTTTTTATTGGTGTGAAAACTTTTACTTGGGCATAAACTTTTAAACTTTTATTTATATCACTTTGTTCCTGTTTTATATAGTTTACCAGACGCTGCACACACACACACACACAGTGCAGAGGTCTTAAACGTGATGTCTATTGATTCTTCTTTGTCGTATCGGCCAATCACGTTCCTCTGACGGCCAGCTGACATTCCTTATACACTCAAGCACTATAAGCTGACATTCCTTATACACTCAAGCACTATAAGCTGACATTCGTAGGTGGCAAATGCAAATGAGCGGACATTCTTACATACATAGAGCATAATAAGCTGACATTCTTTATATACCAAAAGCATTATAAGCTTACATTCTTACACAAAAAAGCTTTCTAAGCTGACACCACTATACCCAAGAAAAACATTGTGTTGACAGTTACACTTTACATCAACAACTAAATAAGTGCTGTAGAAGTAATGTTAGCTAGTTTGCTTTAAGGTGCTTTGAGTAATAATTGTGATGAATTACCCTAAGAATCGATACCCCAGTTTATTTAACCTGATGATTGAACACCCTAATGCTAACCTAACCTAACCTAATCTAATCTAATCTAGCCTAACCTAAAGCTAACCTCTCTTAGTTCCAACACAATTACCTCTAGGAAGCAACACAATCACCCCTCAAGTAGCAACACAATCACCTCAAGAAACAGGACAATCACCCCCAAGGAACAACTTGGAGGAGAATTAGAACAAACACTTAACTTAATTACAAGTCTCAACATGTTTCAACTCGAGTGAAATATTTCGTTCATCACATAGCCTGAGGAAGTGTAATGTTCGTGTTAATATTTCTCAAGACACATAATATTACCTATTGTGAGGCATAAATAGTCTGGTGATAGTGTGTGATGAGGGAGAGTGTTGGAGTGTGGTGAGAAGATAAGGGCGTGGTGAGGGAGAGTGTTGGAGTGTGGTGAGAGAGGGTGGGGGGTGTGTGGTGATGGAGTGTGGTGAGAAGATAACAGTGTGATGAGGAGAGTGATGGAGCCTTTGAGGGAGGAGGGGCAGGGTGAAAGCATGCAATATAAAACCACAAGAAAAAGCGTAAATATTACCTGTGACGTCATAGTAGTAAACTTAACTAACGACGTCAGTAGTAAACAATCAGTGACGTCATAGTATCCTGTACACCCTCAACTTATAAACACCAATAAAAAAAACGCAAATAAAGAGAAAATAACAAACCTAAAAACACAAAGTGGATAATCCGCAGTGCAGTGGCGATTTTTTTCTTCTTCTTTTTTAAACAACTGGGGCTGCATGACATCCTCAACTGAATTATGGTCACCCAAGGTGGTGGCGTGTTGGAGCCCGTGAGCTCAATTACTGCAGTAGCACCCAGTATTACCAAGGACATAATAGACTACTATGTAGACTACAATATCGTAAACAAAAAAAAAGATCAATCGTTATTTACACTCCAATATAACCCAGCACCGAGATTTAAATTGACCATGATTACATTTCCTGGTTACAAAGACGATTATTTTGTTCATAAAGACGTGTGTTCATGCTTTGGTTCCCTCACACTAACTCGTTAGATAATTAAATTTTATTATAACGGGATAATTTACAATGCGTTATATTTGCTCACTTTAGGAACGACTTTAAAGACGAGAGCTCAAATGGTGACGAGATTATCCTGAGACTATAATCACGCGTGTAGTGTAATCTTAAGAGGAAGACTAGTTTACGGTACATAATTACAGAGGCGTTATCATACACTATACGGGTACAGTATTGGGAATGTTATTATGTTATCGTTAAATTACAGGTTTAGTAACATGTACTAAGTTCAATTCTGGTGGTGGTGATGATGATGGTGGTGGTGATGGTGGTGATGATGGTGGTGGTAGTGGTGGTAGTTGTTATGGTGGTGGTAGTGGTGATGGTAGTGGTGATGGTGATGGTAGTGGTGATGGTGGTGGTAGTGATGATGATGGTGGTGATGGTGGTGATGATGGTGGTAGTGTGGTAGGTTGGATGGTAGTGGTGATGGTGGTGGTAGTGGTGGTGGTGGTGGTAGTTGTGATATGGTGGTGGTGGTGATGGTGGTGGTAGTGGTGATGGTGGTGGTAGTGGTGATGGTAGTGGTGATGGTGGTGGTGATGATGATGGTGGTGGTGATGATGATGGTGGTGGTGATGATGATGGTGGTGGTGGTGGTGATAATGGTGGTGGTTGTGGTGGTTCCTTATGAAGCCACCTTCCCTGCACTGATCTAGCAATAGGGAGGGTGACGGGGGCGGAGAAGGAAGAGGAGGAAGAAGAGAAATAAGGAGGGGGAAGAAGAAGAAATTGGAAGCATGGTAGAATGAACCTGCGTTACCAAGGACGTGGGGAATGATTGGATATAGCGTGTAACCTTATCCCTATTTGGAAGGATGGGAGGTAGGGAGGGGGGGTCCTCACTTGATCACCATTATCTATCTTCATCTACCATCATTATAAACATCATATTATCATTAATTATTCACAATCTTACCTCTCCTCATCTCCATTCATCAATAAATAATCGTCTCCATTTAAACATGATAAAATAAGATAAAATTTTCAAGAATTTCTCCGCTCGCTTCGCCATCTTCCGGGAGTGATCGAAAGATGATGTAATCTGGCAGAAGGTCGTCAGGTTAGATCCCTCTTTCCATCTCCGGGGTTATGTGTGTTGCCGTGTGTCTAAAGCTTACGGTCGAGTTTTCTTATTGGTTCGTACGTAAGTAGAGCGACAGGTGGTAGCTCTGTCTCCCCAGCCTGACTTATTACGGATTTTGCATTCACAATTTTGGGAGGATGAGCTTATTCCCAGGTGCAAATGAAGGTGTGGGTGGGGTGGTGGTGGGCGTGGTGTGGTGTGTGTGTGGTGTGTGTGTGGTGTGGTGTGGTGTGGTGTGGTGTGGTGTGGTGTGTGTGGTGTGGTGGGTGTGTGGTGTGGTGTGTGTGGTGTGGTGTGTGTGTGTGGTGTGTGTGGTGTGGTGTGTGTGTGTGGTGTGGTGTGGTGTGGTGTGGTGTGGTGGGTGGTGTGTGGGGTGGTGGTGGTGTGTGTGTGGTGTGTGTGTGTGTGTGTGTGTGTGTGGTGTGGTGTGGTGTGGTGTGTGTGGTGTGGTGTGGTGGTGGTGTGGTGTGTGTGTGTGGTGTGTGTGTGGGGTGGGGGTGTGGTGTGGTGTATGGTGTGGTGTGTGTGTGTGGTGTGGTGTGGTGTGTGGGTGGTGTGTGTGTGGTGTGGGGTGGTGTGGTGGGGTGGGGTGGGGTGGGGTGTGTGTAGAGGATGTGTGGCCAAACAATATTACTCCAATATCAGCTGAAGTTCTCTTGCCTCATCATATTCATTACCTCCCAAACAATGCCCAAAAACATTAAAAAAAAAAATCTCAAGTTTTTCATAGATTGTCATTTAGGCTGTAAACAAGGACTCATATATTCTAAGTCATTAAAAGTACGATAACTTTCTGATCAGGTTGTAGGTAAGAAAGTTTAGATTTAGTTTTTAAAAATCGAAAATATTTGGTTAACGAGTTTGGTAGAGTTTAACCTCACACAGCCAGTCACTTGTCAACACAGTGACGTCATTGTAGAGAGCCCCCCTCCCTCACATCCCCCAATACTTATTTCCAAAATCCATTTCCTCGACGACTTCCTCATAGCGTCTGGTGAGCAGGTAGTGAATAGACGGAAGAGGGAACATCTGTTTCTTGACAATAATTGGTATTATTTTTATTTTCTAAATTATAATCACAATAGTCATGAGTCCATCCACCCGCCCACACATCTCACCCTGCTGCCCACTTCACTTATGACGCCCACCAACCCACCCTACCCATCCACCTCATCATCCCACCCACCTCACCCACACAGCCTCCAGCCCGTAAAGAAGGGAGCAGCAACAGCAAGAGGCAGGCACTGGTGATGACCTTGCTGGTGCTGAGTAAGGTCAATAAAGGTCCTCTCCCTCCACCTCCTCCTCTCCCTCACCTCCTCCTCCTCCTCTCTCCGTCCTCCTCCCAGCACGGCCGCCATCACCTGCTTTTACAGAACCAGTTCCCAGAATTTTCTCAGTGATGCTCAGCTATTATGACGCGGCTACGTTATGCGTACGTAATTTTACTGTCCTGGGATTATCTGAAGATTAGGCATCCCAGCTTATTTAACCTAATGATTAAACACCTTAAGTCAAACTAACCTATTTCATCTGATAATTAAGCACCCAAATTTCACCTAACCTGACCTGACCTGACCTGACCTAACCTACCCCAAAATATCCAAATCTGATCTAACCTAATATACTCAGACCTTCCCTAACCTAGATAAATAATGCCAGATATGTGAAGCAAAATAAGTGGAGCCTGATAAAAGAAACCACATATGGGAAGCCAGATAAGTGAAGGCCGCGGGTGATGCTCGAGGCTTCAAAAGAAAAATTCGGATTTTTTGTCTCGACAACACAATTAGCTCCTGTAGGAGGTGGTGGGTCTTCCTACCTCCTGACACTCCACCATCTGCCTCCTGACACAGTGCCACCTGCCTCCTGACACTGTACCACCAGCTTCCTGACGCTGTACCACCTGCCTCCTGACGTTGTACCAGCTGCCTCCTGACGCTGCACCACCTACCTCCTGACAATGCACCTAACCATCTGTTTGCCTGCTTATCTTACTACTAGTGTGAGTCTGCTTACTTTCACAGAGAAGGTAGAGCTTATTGGGCCACTTAATTAACCTAACCTGATCGTCTGCCTGCTATTTCTTAAGCTAGCCTCGTCACCTGCTTGCTATAGTTCTGCTCATAGCAAATGGCACGTTATTCTGCTAGCATGTTTCCCTGTTTACTGTCCTATTTACCGTCCTGCTGTCCAGTTTACCGTTCTGCCTTCTTGTTTACCGTCTTGCTATCCTGTTTACTAGCCTGCTTTTTTGTTTACCGTCCTTCTGCCCGGTTTACCATGCTGCTTTCCTGTGTACTAGCCAACCTGCCTCCAGCCTGCCTCTCAGCTAACCTGCCTCCCTCCATTCCAGTTTACTTACCCAAAATCCATTCAGTTTCCAGCCTACACGTATAATGGCCAGATAGCCGTGTTTATTGCTCCCTCTGTCTAACTAACTGCCAGACTACCCGCTCTCCTGCAACTCCACCGCGGCACTGAACCTCGGGTAGTGAGGACCGTAGAGTTTGGCCGTGGTTCTCAAGCTACAAATACGACAACAAACGCCTTTATGGACGACACACCTCTCACCATCCTCTTAAAATGTAAATAGTCCAACGGCCCAAAATAGACAAACTATACGCGCATAATTACAAGATATTGTGACAAACTAACATACAGACACTCAAGCACGCACACCCTAATACGATGACATATATCTCGGGCGACGATCCTTAATAACATGGCGATTATTTGCAAACAAAATTCTAGTTCAAGGGACAACTAATACCGCTCTAAAATGTGATAATGTCAGATGTTATCTCACGATGAAAATTAAGGAACATTATACAAATGAAGGCCAGTATTAAGATACTATCTATGTAATGATAAGATCAGTTTTTGTGATAAGGTAGCAACACGTATCTGGACTATGGCGCTGTGAGCGATATTTTATTCTACAGACAAGACGACATTACCATCATTTACACTTATTTTCCAATTTATTTTTAGGCTGCAGAGTTTAAATAAGTTTATTACATGAAACTTGTATGTTAATTAATGTTTCCAAAAAGATGAAATTATAAGGCTTCATGTAATTCAATCCTGTTATTAATGGTTCATACGTCCTTGGGTAGGAAGGCATCGAATCTCCATATTGTCTCACCTAACCAGCTGATCCGACAATAACACACGTCATACAGTTATGAAAGCACTAGAAGTAAAAACAAACATTATAACTGGTTAAAAATGACGGGCGTTTAACAGTTTCCCAAGACCGTCAGTTATTGCCAGTCGATCAAACGGTCACACACAAGTTGAAAAATACAATGAAACAGTTACACAAACTCAAAATACTTTAATAATAACTGGCTTTAACAGTTTTATTGGACAGCCAGTCACTCCGCCACTTAGTGAGGGAAGATTGTGACTGGTTTATGACCGTAGGGATGATAATAAGGGGGCAATGGTCGGCCACTCTCTCTCGACGGCCACAAGTATGGTGGGTGTGCACGCGACGACCTGTATGGCTCTCTTACCCGTGACACACACACACACACACATAACAGAGAGAGAAAGAGACAGAGACAGACAGAGAGCGTCAGTACACAAGGAACTTACTAAATGTCACACCTCGATCCCGGAAGTTGTGGGCAATAGTCTTGAGTGTAAGTCGAAGTGAGGCTTTATCCCGACGAAGGCAAGAGTGACACGCCAGGTAGAGCGGGAAGAAAAGCCCCGTCCACGCCGTGCAGAACCACGTCGTGAAGAAGGGGGCATCGAACACTTCTCTCTGTGGGAGATACGACGGGAGGAGTGAGGCGAGATGACATATGGGAGGGAGGAAGGTTGAGGCAACAGGTGTAAACAGGTGGAGGTTAATTAGTAAACTAAACAGGTGAATGAACAGATTACAAGAAGGTTCTGGAGTAGAAAACCAGGTAAGAACACGTAGATGATTAATTAAAGCAACAGATAAACCCAAATTAGGGATTTAATGAAGACAACAGGTTAGGTGAGGCTCAGACAACACAATTAGCAATAAAGAAGAAAAACTACTTGACCTTGAAAATTTGGGGAAAATTTTTATCCCATTTACGAAATATTGAAGTTAACGTAATCTAAACCAGAGAAATAACCTACAAAATTGCCTCCAACTTATACTGTGACTCTAACCTGACTAAGTCGTCTCTCAGTACCACGAAATTAAGGTAAAGAAGTTTTAGCATTGGTTAATTATTTGGATCACCTGCAGATATGACACCATAGCTTATTTCACCTAACCTAACCTAACCAAACAGACCAAGAAGGCACAAGTACCACCTTCCATCTTCTCCATTTATTTGGCACTGACACTCAGAGTCATTTTTAACGGCACTTGGGCTCTGGTGACAGGTGTAATAAGCAGTAAATAAAACTCCCACAGTGTTGGTTCCAGCGTCCAACAGCGGGGCACTTTATTATGGCCCAGAGGTGAAGGTTGTGTTGTGTGTACCCGTAACATGTGGCGTTCATGCCTGAATTTTTTGTATTTTTCTTCTTCATATACACCCTAACCTAACCAAACGTAACCTGACCTATACCCCACCACCTGTGTCTCTACCACACTGTCTGTCTCTCTACCACACCATCTATCTCTTTACCGCACCATCTATCTCGCTACCACACCGTCTATCTCTCTACCATACAATCTGTATCTATACCACACCACCTTTCTACCACACTATCTATCTCACTACCACATTGTCTTTCTACCACACCATTATCTCTCCACCACATTAAGGTACTTACTTGAACGGCCTCAGTGTAAGGGGGGCTACTGGTGGTGGTGTTCGCGAGGGGCGTGGTGAGGGTGGTTGGGACTGACGCCGTACGTAGAAACATATCCTTGATGAGATGCGTCGCCCCAACCCAGGAGGTGGTCACACAGCAGGTCACTACCCATCCCACCACGATCTGTGGGAGGAGGAGGAGGGCGTGGCTAAGATGTAGTGTATAGATTACCTGAAGATTAGACACCTCAGTTTATTTGAGTTGATTATGCACCATAAACCTAACCTAATCTAATCTAATCTAACGCTAACCTAGATTAAAGTAAAATAAGTGTGTATGTTAAGCCATGAGTTTTTATCCATTAAAAGCATTACCAATATTATTTCATTCTGTCGTGTAAATTATAAATGAAAAATAAATATTTATCTTCACAATACATTATTCACATGTTATATAATATTCTCAAAACAATTATTTTAAAAACGAATTTCTATATACAACTTGTACATTTTTAATAACTATGGACGAGGATGATAAAATGATTTAATAATTGTATAAAATCTGCTTCATAAACTATATTATTCCTTTATGAATATTATATGTCGTCCATTAATACCTCATCAGTATAATTAATATATAATATACTTTACATATATCGTGGATTTAGTATATTCTGATGTTAATATAGCGATCACTGACCTGATATCGCTGGGTAAATTCTGTATTACTATAAATTATAAATTATATGATTAAAATGTCCCCATCGTTGTGCAAACCCATAATTCATTCGTCTATATAAAATGAAAAAAAATCGCATCCACACCACAAGCTTTAAAACGTTCAAAACAAGTTCGCATCTACACCACAAGCTTAAAAACCTTCAAAACAAGTTCGCATCTACACCACAAGCTTAAAAACGTTCAAAACAAGTTCGCATCTACACCACAAGCTTAAAAACGTTCAAAACAAGTTCGCATCTACACCACAAACTTAAAAACGTTTAAAACAACTTCGCATCTACACCACAATTTTATGGGTCATCTTAGCGCCGGGAGGGTAAAGGGGAGGGAGGGAAAGAAGAGTTTAGGGGAGTGAGTAGGAATGAGGGGAAGAAGAGGGGGAGGAGGAAAAGGGTGAAGAGGAAGAAGATGAGGAAGAGGAAGAAGAGTAGGAAGCAGATGATGAACAGGAGGTGGAGGAGGAACAGGATACGAAGGGACTACTCTCTCTCTCTCTCTCTCTCTCTCTCTCTCTCTCTCTCTCTCTCTCATTCTCTCTCTCTCTCTCTCTCTCTCTCTCTCATTCTCTAGGACTAACAGACATTCACACATAAAAGGGATGACGGTCAGACGGAAGGGTGATTGATTGGACGGAAACAAAGGGTAGAGCTCAGTGATCCGTCGTGCTGTGTTCCGCCCGACAAGATAAACAACATATCTGGGGGAGGAAACGTTCGAAGCAAGAGATGACAGCCTGATGGTGCCTGTGTAAAGGTGATGCTCTCTTGTGGCACCCCAACAATGGCACACACACACACACGTCGACATGGCACCCCAACAATGGCACACACACACACGTCGACATGGCACCCCAACAATGGCACACACACACATGTCGACACACTGCTACATAAAAACAACATATTTTCTGTCTGTCTGTCTGTCTGTCTGTCTGTCTGTCTGTCTGTCTATCTGTCTGTCTGTCTGTCTGTCTGTCTGTCTGTCTGTCTGTGTCTGTCTGTGCCTGTCTGTCTGTCTGTCTGTCTGTCTGTCTGTCTGTCTCACCGTTTAACACCACAGTTTAACATCAGTTATGCGTTTAAGACTTAAGTTACTAAAACACAGTAATGGTCTACAACGGTGAGGCTAAAAGGTTGGAACGATCGTAAAGTGCTGGTGATTATGGTGTGTGTGTGTGTGTGTGTGTGTGTGTGTGTGTGTGTGTGTGTGTGTGTGTGTGTGTATATGTTTGTGTGTGTATGTGTGTAATAATAATAATAATATTATGTATTTATGTATGTGTGTATGTGTGTATGTGTGTGTGTGTGTGTGTGTGTGTGTGTGTAGGTGTGTGTGTGTGTAACCTCCACGCCATGCAAATCACTTTCAGTACTACACACTCACCCAGACTTCATAATGACTACTTAAATGTGACCAAAAACAACCCCACCAACACACACACACACACACACACACACACACACACACACACACACACACACACACACACACACACACACACACACACAGGGGTTAGTCGACTATCTCCACTAACCTACAACACCTCGTAACAACACAGTGTCATCCCTACAACAATAAACATCAACCATAACATTTCAAATAACAATAATTAAACATATATATTCAATTAATCTTTATAACCAACCTCATAAAGCATTTTAATTATCATCCAGATTTTAGTTAACTCTCCTTTGTATTTGTCAAGCACTCGAATATTTTATAATTTGACTTCGAATAATAATAATAATAATAATAATAATAATAATAATAATAATAATAATAATAATAATAATAATAATAATAATAATAATAATAATAATAATAATAATAATAATAATAATAATAATAGTTAAGTTACGTCAAGTTAGTGTTAGGATATTTATTTAATCATCGGGTAAAATAATCCGGGGTGTTTATTCTTCAGGTGAAATAAGCCGAAGTGACTTAGCTTCAGCTGATCCAGATATCTTAAATATATATCAACATTGTGTCAAGTTAATCAACGTAATTTATTAGTGTGGACAGCGGAAGTTGAGGAACTGCTGGAGCCATGAGTCGAAGGGAATATCTGGGAGTCGTGAGTCACTTTTCCTGAATATCCCACTGACTCAGTCCTTGTGTTATTGACTAGAAGCATGTGAGAGATGAAGTTTGAGTCACTTTACTGGCCATCCCACTGACTCAACCTTTGTATAATGAGTAACAGTGACGTACAGTAGGTCTAAGTCCTCAAAAACACCATAGTTACCCAAAGAAAGAATGAAAGAAAGAAAGAAAACGGTCCTATTTCTCCATTTTCTATATGATTTTCTTTACTAAAAAACACAACAGGTATGGTTGGCATCCCTTAAAGACCCCGAATTACCCCTCACAACACCTTTCCCGAAACAGATTAAACCATAATTATATTTTTCTTGTTAATTTAGACACCTGACGCCCTACAGCTCACCCAGTAGTAGTCAGTCAGTCAGTCACATTATCCTTATTTGTGTTCAGTTCGGGGTTTGATTTTAACAAGGGGTCGGTCCTCCTGCCTCGAGTACACGCTAACCATTTTGAATAAAGTAGAACAAATTACGTAGAAGGAATGTTTTTGTTGTTCCTATCTCGATTTCTTTTTTCACCTGGTGTAGTCTTGTGTGTGTGTGTGTGTGTGTGTAAATTAAATGAAGAACCCTTGAGAACCCAAAGCTCAGACGATACCGTGTGAGAGACGCTACAGGTAAGAGAGAGCTGACACCGGTGATACAACACAAGTGATATGACACAGGTGAGAGATGACACAGGTGAGATATGACACGGGTGAGAGATGACACAGGTGAGAGTCTTACCTTTCTGGTAGTCTTAGAGAACACAGCCTTCCTAAATCTGCAGCACTTAGAGGGGGGAGTGTCTCGAGGGCTCTCCGTCACCGACCCTGTGGAGGAGGAGAGGATCTTTATATTATGAGTCTAAATGTTTATATAATATACGTTAATGTTTATAAATGAACCTTAATGTTTATATAATATAACTTAATGCTTGAATACCCTTTGGAGGAGGATAGAATAATGTTTATATTATGACCCTAAATGTTTATATAATGTACGTTAATGTTTATGAATGAACCCTGTCAAGAATACATGAATATTTTACTTATGGTGCGGTACTCTTCAAAAAAAAAGTATATATAAATCTAAATGTTTGTACATGAACTTCAATGTATATATACGAACCTTAATGCTATACATGGGCCGAAAATGTTTACAAGGCCAAACTTACGTAAAAAAAAAAAACCCTAAGTTAACACAATGTTCGCTAGTGGTACTCTTCACATGTTTGTTTACATAGGGCACAGCTGATCGTGACGTGTTTCCTTACGACGCGTCTTATTTGCGTGTCCCTCTAGGAATAGTTTTATTGGCCTAGATGGTAGTGACGTGTTTACCAACTGAGAGTCTTATTGGTTGAGATGGTTTCACGTGTCCCTCTCCTAAGAATTTCACTGGTTGAGCGGATTGTGACATGTTCCTCTAAACAAAGAGATTTGATGGATGAGCTGGTTGTGACGTGTCCCCCTACTAAGACTTTTATTGGCTAAGTTTGTCGTGACGTGTCCCCTAACACTAAGAATTTTATTAGCTTAGCTGGTAGTGACGTATCCCATATTAAATTTTTATTGGTGAAGCTGGTAGTGACGTATCCCTCTCCTAAGAGTCTTATTGGCTGAGCTGAGCTGACCCGGCAGATAGTGGCTCGCGGCACTGTTCTCACCCACACCCTGTTACATACAGTACAGTATAAACACGCAACGAAAGATGGGGAAATAACTGCAATATAGTTAGCATCTTTATCTGTCTGTCTGTCTCCTCTTTTTCTTTCTTCCTTTCTGGGCCTCGAAGAGAGAGAGAGAGAGAGAGAGAGAGAGAGAGAGAGAGAGAGAGAGAGATAGAGAGTTGTAATATTCCCTCTCTTGTGTGCTCCTCCCCTCCCCCTCATCACCCCCACCAGATAATGCAGTACTCGGCTCACCCCTCCCTCCCCTTCCCGCTCACAGCCCCTCCTCCCCTCCTTCTCTCGTCTTTCCCTGCCATCCAGCTCTTGTTCATAGGGAGGGAGGGAAGGAAGGAAGGAAGGAAGGAAGGAAGGAAGGCGGGAGGGAGGAAACGGTATGATGGAAGGGAGGAAGGAAGGAGGGAGGGGAAAACTGTAAAAATGGAAGGGAGGGAAGGAAGGAGAGAGGGAGAGATAACGGGCCTCTTACACCAGACAATACACAATCATAACTTACACACACAATTTTACACAACCTTAAGGTAAAAAATTCCACCAAGGTCACTACAAGGATCTTTAATTAGTGGTAGGCAGTTCTCGTGATTGGTTAACTACGCGTGTAATGAAGTAATTACCTGGGCTGGTCTTGTTAGGAGCTTAAGGGAGGGTCACGACTCACCTGTGAACACCATCAACACGAGTTTACCTCTAACATGTGTACCACAATTGTCAACAGGTGTACAAGTGTTCACAGGTACTTACAGGTGTCCTACGAGTGTCCACAGGAACTTACAGGTGTACCACAGAAATCCACAGGTCTCCATTGGCTGTGAATAAGTGTCGACAGGTACCCACAGGTATCCCACAAGTCCACAGGTAACAAAGGGTATTGAGAGGTGTCCCAGTGGTGTCGACAGGTACCCACAGGTGTCCCACAAGTCCACAGGTACCAAAAGGTGTCCCACGAGTGTCGAAAGAAACCCACAGGTGTCCAGGTGTCTTCTAGGTGTCCCCAGGTGACAGAGAGAGGAACTACCATTAAAACTTTCAGGGCAACACCTTTAAGACAGCGATGACGTCTATCCTGACCTTTACCGGATCTACAGGCAACATCTTCAGGCGCACGCGGGTGAGATAATGCACCACAGACAGTAATCAACTCACCTTGTTATTACAGGCAGGGGAGAGAGAAGCACCCTGAGTGAAGGTGTTCAATAATTACTTATCACCTAAAGGTTAACTACCCTAATGCTAACCTAAGCTAACTTGATCTACCTAACCTAACCCAACCCGGCCAGGTAGCGTTAGACTGGTTAATCATCAGGTGAAATAAGCGGGAGTGTTTAATCTTCAGGTGGTCAAGACTAATTAGTGACTCGCTCTTCAAACAACAACAGGTGAGTTCTCGGTAAACCTTCACCTGTGAGCCTCGTATAATTACCCCCAAGGAGCTTAAATCTTGGCCCAGGTATTTAGGTGTGTTAAAAACGACTTCTTACACATGTAATAATAGGGGAGGGGGAGTAGGGAGGTGTAGGGGTGCGGGGGGCAGAGGGCGAGGAGCAGAGGGCAGGGAAAGAGCCAGGGGGCAGGGAGAGGAGGGTGCAGGTGGGCGGGGGTGCGAGGTGGGCGGGGAGGGAGTGCAGGTGGGCAGGGGGAGGGGGTGCAAGGTGGGCGGGGGGGGGCGAGGAGGGGCGGAGGGCGAAGGGGACGAGGGGATCTTTACTCCACCACTCCAGGCTCTTGTCTGGAGGGTTTATACATACAAAGTCGACCACATGTGTAAGGTGAGGTGGTATGGCGTCACGTAGCGCGCGCGCACACACACACACACACACACACACACACACACACACACACACACACACGTATATTGTACTGTATGGAGAGTTGTGGTGATGTTGAGATGGTAACCTTGGTGATATCCAGGTGACATTTACGGTTTGTTTTGGTGTTCTGGGCGGTCTCTTTTTTCCTTCTCTCTCTCTCTCTCTTTCTCCATCTCCCTGTCTATCGCTCTATCTCTCTACATATATCTATTTATCAGTCTTTTTGGTCTGTGTTCCTCCTCTCTCTATCTCCCTTTCTGCCGATCTGTCTGTCTGTTTGTCTCTGTTTATCTTATTATAGAATGGATATCAATTCACTAGAGTCGGTGCAGCGAAGAATGACGAAAATGATTCCGGGACTTAGAAACCTTCCATATCAGGATAGGTTAAAGAAACTTAACTTGCATTCCCTAGAAAGACGAAGAGTGCGGGGAGATATGATAGAAGTATTTAAGTGGGTGAAAGGAATCAATAAAGGGGATATAGATAAAGTTCTTATAATATCCGAGCAGGATAGGACTCGGAGCAACGGATTTAAGTTGGATAAGTTTAGGTTCAGGAGGGAGATAGGAAGGAACTGGTTCACAAATAGGGTGGTGGACGAGTGGAACAAGCTTAGCAACTTTGTAGTAAGTGCTGGAACGCTGGAAAGTTTCAAAAGGAGGCTGGACAGATTCATGGATGATAGAGAGTGGTAGTAACTCTCGACTGGAGCTGCCATGCACAGGCCAACCGGCCTATTGCAGACTCCTTATTTTCTTATGTTCTTATGTTCTTATCTCTCTCTCCCATGCGATATTTGGTCACATAATTCATTGTTTTGTGTTTTGGTCGCTGGCAGAATAATATTTCAACAAACACTCACTGTAACCAATTTCGGACATCAAAACAAACACAATAACCCATTTTGGACATCAATGTAGAGATATTATTCCTATACTTCATCTGACATCAAACAGTAAGGTATATTTTCCCCATTAAATCTTCACTTACGACTAAAATATTTACCAGTAGGAGCCTTTGTGAGTCTGAACCCTCTGGGAGTTTATACAAAAGCGTGTGTGCCGATGGCTTAAAGCCGAGCGAGTGACCCTGAGCCTTGTGAACTCTAACCTTTGACCTATCTCAATAAAACACGCAAGGAGAGTTAAATGAGATCATATCACAGGGTCAGAGGTCATAGGATAATGTTTCACGGTCATATGTGTACGAGAGACATTAATTGTGTGTCTGTGGAATAAAATAATTGTGGAAACTGAACTTTTCAATATTTATTTTTGGTACTATTGTTCATCTGCATCCTAGCCTTTACCTACACCCTAGCCCTTATCATTCCCCCTAACCCTCACCCTACACCCTAGCCCCACCCTACACCCTAGCCCTTATCATTCCCCCTAACCCTCACCCTACACCCTAGCCCCACCCTACACCCTAACCCTACACCCTAGCCCTCACACTACACCCTAGCCCTCACCCTACACCCTAGCCCTCACCCTACACCCTAGCCCTCACCCTACACCCTAGCCCTCACCCTACACCCTAGCCCTCACCCTACACCCTAGCCCTCACCCTACACCTAGCCCTCCCCCCCTAGCCTGCCCTCTGCCCTACACCTAACCTCACCCTACACCCAACCCTCTTTCCCCTAGCCCTCACCCTACACCCTAGCCCTCACCCTACACCCTAGCCCTCACCCTACACCCTAGCCCTCACCCTATCCAATAATGCCTCCCAATAACTGAACCTCCTTAATGAGAAAACTTGTGGGATTACTCCTGGCCTTGTGACAGTGGGTGGTTGGATGGCACTGTTGATGGGTGGTGGGTGGCACTGTGGTTGGGTGGTGGGTGGCACTGTGGTTGGGTGGCGGGTGGCACTGTGTCTGGGTGGTAAGTGGTACTATAATTGGGTAAAACTATAGCTGGGCAGCACTATAAATGGGTGACACTATAATTGGGCGGCACTATAAATGGGTGGCACTTTAGCTGGGTGGCATTGTAGCTGGGTGGTGCCACAACACGGCATGAAAATTTACATCATGACAACTTCTATTAGTTCATTTGTATGTAAAGTGAGAGAGAGAGAGAGAGAGAGAGAGAGAGAGAGAGAAATTGTCACTCCTCCCTCACCAAATCCCATTGCAGTTAAAATACTAATAATAATGATAATAAAAGAACAACAACAACTCCAACAACAACGACACAAACAATAAACATTATACACACACGGGACGGACCAACACGACAGGTGACCTACTACACACATTGACACGAGGAAGGAAGGAAGGAAGGAAGGAAGGAAGGAAGGAAGGAATAAAGGTAGGTAGGTAGGAAGG